ACACACAAACCGACTTCAAATTAGCGGTACTAAAGTTTACTGAGTTAACTACATTCTTATTTGTTTATTGTATATTTGTAAGTTTAATTCACTAATAGTAATGATTAAGCAAGAACAAAACCACTCATCAATGCACTGTTCGCAACACAGAGAAAATTAAGCATTACATATACTTAGCTCACTGTTCTACGAACCTCCCTTTCTCAGTCTACGTTTTCTAATTAGTTCAATGATAATATCTGTTATATAACAGTGATTACGAGCTTGGTTTTAGATATCTAATTATGATATTTATATATGAATATCAAGAATGATTTCCAAAGCTTTAACGACTTCAAATTTTATTTTATTAAGCTAATAACTTACTGCTGCCTCGGACACTAGGGATTAGAAATCATTCAAATTTTGTCATATTACTTTTGGTTCTTTAACTTAACACGAGTTGACAATGTGATTATGTTCCGCTAAGTTGATATTATATATTGTAAATTGTTGTTCTACACCTTATTTTTTTGTTGATATTTGCCTATTTGGCACGCAACCAGACTTTACTCTTTCATTGTATATCGAATGTATGTACATACTTATTTATGTATGTATGTATACCTAGTTGCCCAAGGAAATTCGTACTAAAAATACCACTTTTATTTTATTATTTAGTTTATGTACCATATTTAGATGCTCACGCAGACTCAACTGATTAAGAGAGAATTTTGAAATATTTGTATATACATATGAACACACGTGGGTGAAAACTTTCAAATAAAAATACATATAAAATATTTTCATATCAACTTATTATGAGTTTAGAGGCATATGTGTACATATGTAAGTATATGTATGAACGATTATTCCACTTTCCCTTTTAAATAAAGCGCATGTTTCCCAAAGGATTATCCATGAATAACTCAAGCTAATTGTGTTTTTTGCTCATTAACTTCAAATGATTTCTACTGCATTATATTACTTTCCTTGATAACGTCAACCAAATCATTGAAATCTAATAAAGGGGCATAAAAGCTTTGGGGAGTCGAATATGACATAAATATTTATTAAACATTTTTAGATAAAGCATAAGTAACATATGTGCATTAATTCAACAAATTTCAATATCGTAATTACTAATTGTTGGAATATATAACAGCAACAAACAATAAAAACTGATGGGTTGTTTGCACAGCTTTATAAATGTTCCATAATTGACATTGTTTTGTGATTATTATTTCTCAATTGGCGGAACTAAATAAATAACAAGTGGCGAACAAGTAATAGCACTTTAAATTTGTAAGTGGTAAATATTATTTACCAACTCAACGAGGGAGCTATAATAACGTTCATATATACATATGCATGCATATAAGTATACATATACTTGTTATGATTAAAATCGTTCCACTTAAATTTTATGACCTTACGATTGTTATTGCAAATACTTATAACAGTTTATTAGCCGCAGTGAATGCTTTATGCTACTCTCTAATAAATAATTGCATATTGTTATCAATATATTGGAACATACAAACGGTGTTCAATATATTATATTTATTAATATTTATCAGTATGTCTAAGATTCTCTAGATCTCGTTAGATAAAATATGCCCGTCTGTTTTCTAAAATCATCCAATTATTCACAGTCGTTCTAGCATGAACTCCCTTAGTTATTTAAAAAGCCTATTATTAAATTGCATTCAATAATTATTTATTTTCTCTTGTTTATTACTTATTCAAAGCTTTCGCTAAAAAGTTAACCAAATGAAAATATCATAAAATTACATTATTAAAAACTATATATATATATATATATATATTATTTATAGCATATGTATGTATATAGAATGTACCTATATATGTATATACAAGTATACATAATACAGTAAGATTTAGAATATTTTATTCATTATAAGATCAAAATGCGGTCGAATTTGCAAAAATTAAGGAACATACATATATACATATACTTCATATTGCCAAGATATCTTACATGTTAACTGATATACATATATAGTATAAAGTCATCTGGATGAAGCATAAGGGGGATTGGATAAGTATTAGACCGACTTTTTGGTAAAATGAGCACATTAGTATTAGCAAAAAACTATCTTCGAATTTCATTAAGGTGCTTCTTATATTGAATGATACATGCGGTATAAAATCCAACGAAAGCTTGAAATCCCTTAGGCACTTGACACAAAGGCCCGTTATTTATTATCTGAAAAAAAATGATGTAAGGATAATGTTTTATATCCACTTTTGATATAGGATTTCACTTAAAAGAGGGCGATGCCTCCGACGCGTATTAATTGAAAAAATATTAATTCGACATAATAACTACTTACCCCTTCCCCTCAAACAACTTTGCAAAAAATTAAATGATGTTTCTCCTTCCAGTTCAATTTTATTACCGAAATTCGGGTTCAAAACTGGTATTTTAAGACCAATATTTTATATCGGGACCGCTCAACTCCTATCAGAGACCCTAGTATCTTCAAGAATTTTCACATGTTTATCTAGCCCCAGCTAAATGCGATTATTAGTCAATTTCGCCATTTAGCACAATATAGTCCTTAGCTACACACGCTCTTCGCATATGTCCATACGGCTCTCTATTAGTAAACACCGCAGAAAATTTTTTCAATCTATTACTTGCAGCTCATTATCTTTTTTTCTAAATCAGGTTGTTCTTGTCGAATACTTTCGTTCAGGTTCACGTTAAACTCGTTTTTAGTCATCTGTTTGTAAATTTGTGATAAATTGCTGAAACAGACTTGGTGAAATCCACCTTAACTTTTTATTTTATTCATTTACATTTATTGTTTCCCAGTTTTTTTCCTTTAATATTCCTTAAAATATTAAAAAGAAATTCGATTAATTATGTAGTAGTAATGAAATGAACGGATCAAACTAGGATAAGAACGACAAAGTCTAAAAACAGTGAAACTCATATCAACTAGATCTAGTCATGTGAATGGGTTAAGCTGAAAATATATATACATAATAGCACTGGAAGTGATTAATAGTTTTCTTCGAAAGTAGATATTAATACAAGTATAGCCATACATAAATATTTTAAGCTATTTTCCGATGAGTGATCGATAATACAATATTTTGTTGTACATTTTATTGTTAGGGTAACACTTATGTATGTATGTTCGTTCGTATAACCAGAGGAACAGATCCGTGTGATAAAATTCGATCACACCACAAACAACTAATTTCTCACCAATTCCTAGATAATAAAACTAAAAAAGAGGAACTCACTAATATCCACACAAATATTATATAATATATAAGCTCCTGAACATGTGTAAGTACATAGCTACCTATGCATATAGGTATGTATGTATAAAAGTACGTACATATACATACATATATTTTTGTTTAAATTATAAATTCAATAATAAAATAGCAATCGAGGTGGTAACGGCAGGAGAAAGAGGTCTGTCGCTCTCATACTGGTGGACACGCGTCGAACACGCTGCGATCACTCCAGCCTGTCTTTATTAACGGCGACGTTGACACAGGCTAATGTGGCTTATTAGCGCTTGCAGACAATATATTAGCATCCAATTCGATCTACTTACGTACCAGTATATGAGCGCCTATGTACAGACATATGTATGCAAATCTGAGATATACTACTGAGAGATACTAATTATGGATTCAAATACAACTATGATGGTGATAATGATAAAATGTGTCACCTGTTTGGTGAAAGAGCAAATTGAGACAGCCAAAAATTTAAAAGGGTTTGATTAAATTAGTTAGGTCTCCATAAGGGAGTATATACGTATGTATGTACATATGTTGGCTAACGTATAAGTATAATCTTGTTTCGGGGACTCCTGCTATCTTCGGATTCCGCTCGAATTATGTTATATGAATAATTAATGTGTGTGTTGTTCTACTACTACCAGAGAATGTTAATGAATATTCATTTACGTTCTCTGGTTCGATCAAGCTAACGGCGCTGTTATCAATGATGTTAGCTATTCTTCAATCTAAGCTTATACTAAGCAGTAGAAATATAAATTTACACACACAACCTAATTATAGCATTTATTATTGAATTGTTGTGATATCTTGGAAATTAAGTAAAATATATTAAAGAAACAAAATACGTTAGCACGTTACCTCTCATGTAAATGTTGTCATTAATATATTTTTAATTTTATACTAATGATAGCAAGGATTTATATATTGTAGTATGTTCATATCACATAATACATCCTACATATTTTGACGGGTAGACAAGTATTTATCGCTTTTACTGAAAAGTGTTAAGCGTAGGATTTAGCACAATTAGACACGACTTTGTTTCTAATCCAGGAAAATTTTTCGATTATATGTACAAAGGTACTTAGACATGCGTACACGATAATACACTTGTAAATATACATATTTATGTACATAAGTAGAAAGATATGCATATTTATACATATGTACATCAAAAACTGATGTCAAACGCTAAAGTCGTGTCATTTTGTTGTATTTATTATTGGCTTGTCCATATTAAAGTAAGCGGAAATTTTTTTATTTATATACACTTATGGACATACTTATGCATGTATATCTAAATATGTTGTTGTTTACTATGTATCTGCAGAAAAACACTACTTGCCTACTCGTTGCGCCCGCTATAAAAGTCTTTGGCCGCAAATAAACTAACGGTATAACTTTTTTCATCTCTGTGTACCTTTTCAAGCTTATTAAAAGAGATATAAAATTTGCCTATGTTTTTCAACGGGTTGGAAATATACTTTGTACTCTTGCATACGCATGCAAGTAAGTTTTATTCGTTTTAGTCGGTTTTAAATTTTTGAAACAATCGAAGTGCTGACAATTTAATAAGGCGTTGCTAGATGATATTTTTCGCCTTTCAATGCTGTTTTTCTTTATACATACCTGTGATATACATATGTACATATGTATATATGTTAACAGATAGGAAAAGGACAAATAAGTATAGCGGTAGGCGCGGGTTGGTTAAAAAAAAAAAACAATTTTTTAATGATTTTTCTTTTATTCAACTATTTTTTCTTTGTATCATTGTGAGTTACTCAACCTATTCATAATAACAATCACATAAGATTTTATTAAATGTACGCTCCTCATTTTGCTTTGTGCTCTTTTGTTTAATGCTATTTTTTTGGCAATTCAACTATTCATTATTAGTATAAATTCTGGAGTTTCTCATTCCACTTTTCCCATTCCACATTGTCTTCCATGTATTTGGAATAACTTTTCACTGGAATCAGTACTGTGTCAGTTATGTTGAAAAAGTAAGATCATAAACGTATAATTGTTGTTGTGAATTAAAAAATATACATAGATTACAAAAAATATCAGTAGAAAATAGAAATTGTTCAAGTAATATATAATGGAATATTTTGGTATGTAAGAATATACCATACATACATTAATCTATAACAAAATAATTACATTCATCCATTTCAAAGAGATTAATTTTTTCTTTCTATAAATATTACTTAGGTATATGTATATTTATTATACAATAGATATTTTGGTTTTTGGCCCTCCCCTTAAAAAGATAATGTACTTATACATATGTATGTAAGTATGTATGTATTTATATAAATTATGGTGTCGATGAAATTTCAACAGGCAATACATCTTTGACATTAAATGTTTTATAGATATCGTTTAGATTGAGTTTAATTTCACATTTAATAACATTTATTTATGTACCGAATGTTCCCCATTTTTCTTCTGAAAATTTGCATATTCTTTAAATATGCTTTCCTCTACATAGTGCCCAATTTCACAGATTTATGTATGTGCATATGTGCTTAAGCTGATATGTGTACATATGTATGGCATAATATTCTCCGTTTGTAGTTTCTGTATATGTACATACATATATCGGCTTTCACTCTCTCAATTTATGGGCTGCTTGTTGCTAACTGAGTTTATTCATCAAGCAAGCAGGTTCTCACCAAAGCGTTACAAACAGCATATGGATCGCAATTCGAGCTAGGACGACGATCTTCAAAGTAACCTTTACCTGCACTTGCTACACCACGTGGAATACGAACACTGGTGCCACGGTTCGCAATGCCCCAAGAGAACTTATCGATACTTGAGGTTTCCAAACGGCCGACCAAACGTCGTTCATTATCCTTGCCTTCCTTTGGATCGTAGGCACGAATGTGGCGCTCTTGCTGCTTGCTTAGTTTTTTAATAGCTTCTTCTATGACTTTCATACCGCCATCACCACGCATAGCTTTAGTAGAGAAATTGTGATGGGCACCAGCCCCGTTCCATGGCCCATCCATTGGCTTGGGATCGAATGTAACAACAATCCCATATTCTTCAGCAATGCGTTGTAGAATATAACGTGAAACCCACAGGTCATCACCAGCTTTGAGGCCAATGCTAGGGCCTACTTGGTATTCCCATTGAGCGGGCATAACTTCGGCATTGGTGCCAGCAAAATCGATACCAGCATACAAGCATGCAATGGCATGAGCTTCTACTAAATCTCGGGCGTAAACACGATCGGCTCCCACTCCGCAGTAGTAGGGTCCTTGAGGCGCAGGAAAGCCACCTTCTGGCCAGCCGAAGGGACGGCCTTCAACATCAAGCAACGTATATTCCTGTTCTATACCGAACCAGGGTTCTTGATCAATAACTTTTTCTATAGCTGCTTGACAGGCAGCGCGTTTGTTGGATGGCGTTGGTTTACCTTCAGATGTGTAAGTATCACACATAACAATAATATCGTTTTGACCAGGCTTGAAGGGATCCCGATATATGGCACGCGGTGTTAGAGTGGTGTCTGAATTTTCACCAGAAGCTTGGTATGTTGAGCTTCCATCATACTGCCAGTTAGGTAGATCTTCCACACTTTTTGGTATCTTATTCAAGACACGGTCCTTCAAGCGGATGTTTTCACCAGTTCCATCGATCCAAAGATAAGTTGCCTGAACAAGATCTTTTGGAGTTTCAAGCGTGCGATAGCGATCTAACAATGTTTTGCTCAGCGCTGCATTCGGCGAATTCTTGAGGAAATGCGCTTGACGCACAGAGGTCATATTAAGGTTACGGAATTGAGATAGAAACTGTGAGGATGCTGCAAGCTCCTTATTAATAAACAGACCAGCACAACGTAGAGCCATATTTTCTACAAGATACTTCCTGGTTTGGTATTGGATTGAATTATTATTATTTTTTATTATTCTCCCCACTATATTCTGTTCAATGAAGGACGTTAAAGGACGTTAAAAGTTATAGCTATGTCTCCGGCACAAGGTTAGAGAGTAGCATAAGCTAGTTGAAATATTTCATATGTACTTTGGAAAATGTCCGAAAATGGTAGGTTTGTGCGTAACACTTTAAACACGTTGTATTCATTTATTTGCTTGAGCTTTGCCTTTGTTTAGTTTTGTACTTTTGATTTTGATAAAACACTCGAAATTTCAACTTAATTTCATTGCAGCACTTTTATTTTGTACTAATTTTTCCTCACTACACTCTTGGTGGTTTTCTGCACATAAGTAAGCGTTTAAGTCCGAACACCCGTTTTCTTTGAGGTTTGAACAATGTCTGACTGTGAATAGAGCGAAGCACTCACTTTTCTGGCCTCAATCATTGCGATTTTCTTTATCACATTTTCAAAATTCAACCTCCCCACATTTGGCGTCTTTCCATCTGCATATGTATTAGTGAGATAAGTATGACTGTATGCAGAGAGTCGTTACCTTAAATTCATGCGTAGGCGAGCTTCTACGACTACGTTTACACACGAAGACTTTTGTTGCTCGTAGTTTGTTGACGAGAAGCGACGAGGAAAGATGAAGGACACCGAGTTGTTCAGCCTCGGGCAATACGCTTTGTGTTTTTTTTTCATAACAGTTCGCTGATACGCAATTCGGCATTACTTTTCATTGTGAATTTTAAATGAATATTTAAAATATGTTCAGAAATTTGAATTTTATTATATTTGTATATGTGTAATATGCATAATATAATTGAAATATTTTTGAAAATAGTGAATAAGGATAAAAATTAGTTAATGAAAATTGTACAAGATTTTGAGAAAACGATATAAAAGGAAATTCTGAAAATGGCCCGATTCGAGTTGCTGAATTAGTGTCGCCCGTGTTAATACGATAAACAACACCATAAATTGAATTTCTCGATGATGCGCAACAAAAGTTTCCGCTTATAACCTCGGACTAAAGATTAGTGAGCAGTCAGTAAACAGATATATATGTATGTACTACTAACTGAGCAAAAGACGCAGTCACTCTCGGCTGTGTATGGAAATACAAATATTTACTCATATACGCATGTGCTTATATAGCATATAAATAAATGTATACGACTTTGTTGGTGCACGTTGTGGTTGGCTGATACGAAGGAATGTTTAGTAAGAGGGGATTGACTTTGAGGATAAAAAGTGCATTGTTGAACATACTTATGTGCTCGTATGTACATTTATAATATGTGTGCCACATATCAACTATATTGAAGGCGAGTAATACGCCTAAAATCTGTAAACAATTAACCAAAAAACCAACGCGTATCCATTTACGTACGTACGGTAATGTGTCCAGTAACAGCTGAGAGCCTCCTTTGTAAACTCAGCTGATAAAGTGTATATAAGTACACCTCCCAGTAGATAAACGGTGAAATGCATATAAATGTACGCAAATAGCATTTGCCTATGTTTATGTACTTACTTATTTATATGATATGATTATTGTACATACACACATAAATAAATATATAAGCATATATATATATATATGTATATATATACACCAATACTAATTCATATATAATATTGTGGAATACAAACCTATGTGAAACCTTTTCTGTATGTATGTAATACACATGCATACTTATGCACAGAAATATGTGTAAGGTATACATACGCACAAATGCATACATACATATGTATATCCCTGTATGTATGTAAATATACATATATACGGGTATCACTATTTTCTTTCAACATCAAATGCATTGCTCTGTTGCTTTGGTTACCCCAAGTGCTTTGTTTTGTATACCGTCGCACATCTGTTTTTGTTTTGGTTACAAAGTCCAAAATTATTTTAGCGGCACTGGCGACATCACAAATATCAGATTCACCTTTCATGCCCAGACGGTATTCCACCGGTGATGAATGTTGTGGCCTTCTTTCCGTGTTCTCCTCAAAAAATAGAGAATGTCCCCCGATGAGTATACCTCACAATGTTACTGTCATTTACAAATACAGTTTTATTTATTTCACATAAACATACTGATCGCTCACATTTATACATACATATGTATGTGTGTACATAAGCGCATGGTAAACAAATTTTAAAATGGGTGCAGTGCTCTCTCAGCTGTTTCTGTTGAGCTTTTATTGAACAAAAGCTTTATTCGTATATTATTCACACCACATATTGTTGAGGAAAGGAACTTGTAAGACTTTTATTCATGTCACCCTGTTGAAAAAAGTAATGTTAGTCAATAGTCGTTCCGAATTTGTGTCAGCTGTGATTATCAACTGTGGAACTGTTGGACCAAATACTCCTACTGCAGATGCATGCTCAAATGTCTCCATACTTTCAATTGTAAATTGTACTGCAGTAGATTTTGATCGAAAATCTATGATATTCCGCAGTTTCTGCAATTCCTTTTTTGGTCCGAAGACTATAATAATTGATATGTTTGATCATTTAATATGTAAATTGTCTCATCTTTGGTGCTATTATATATTATTTCAATAATATTTTTGAAATAAATTATTATTTTAAACATGCAGTACCGATGTCATGCAGTTTCAATGTTATTTGAATTTTATTTGGAATTTAATAGATTTTATAAAACAGAAATATTAACTGTTAAATAGAGGAAAACATCAATTTCTGACGTTGAATGCGTTGGCTAAGGATAAATTTTCAATATGCATAATGAAAATAAATGTGTATACAAATTAAGTTTGTTTCTTAACTACTAACTATACAAGCTAGCAAAGTTTTTGCTTGAAAAGCGTTTCTTAACCTAAAAAACTAGCAGCAACCAGCAAAAATTGAGAGCGAAAAACCTGAGAGAGCTGCTAGTTTCTACTAGTGAAATTTCTACTTATGGCAGTAGAAATGAGGAAACATTTGTTAAAACACATGTGTATGTAAGCAAGCAAGATTTGACGAATTTTCTTTGTTTTTGTTTATTTTAATAGTGTATAATTGTAACAAAATACAAACTCTACCGAATAATTTTCACATAATAGATTATTAAAAATAACATTTTGATATTGTCTTGCTAATTTCCGCTAGTTTTTGCCAGCTATCCGTTTCTTTCCTTTTTGGTTATTTCGCTCTTTTTGAGACTAAAGAGCCATTCAAAAGTTCTCGATTTGCGTGACAGTTCGTATTGAAACAACGAAGCGCAGAAAACAAAGGGTATGTCACAATGAACACTTTGCTTTCAGTGTTTCTCTCTAATAAAAATGGCGATTGTTGCTTGGCAAAGTGTAAAAAGGTGAGAGTTTCCCAACATGTTCCTTGGCTTCCCTTCGAAAACGAAGTATAAGTTCTATGTGAATTGGCCATAACTTCTCAATTCGCTAAGTGTTGTTCTTCCTGATAGCTAGCAGCAGAGAATGTTAATAAATTATTTTAATTTTTATTTTATTAACATTCTCTAGATTATGCTAAAAAATTATTAAATTTAATTCAAGAACAAATGTTATTGGTGGATTACCTCACAATAAATATTGGAGAATCCCGAATTGTTTATTTTCGTTAAAAAAATTTTTACCATTGTTTTAAAAGTAAAGACACATTTTCTTCAACCTTTAGAAATAAAGCCATGAGTAAAAAGTATACATATGTATATGTATAATAGATTCGCCGACAAACATCCGTTGAGGTAAAATTGGTTTTCACTTCACACACAGTACTCAATTGCGATTGCTCTAAATTTGCCCTAATAGTTTAGTTGAGAAATTGAAAACATTTCACATACATACATAAGAATGCGCATGCGCATGGAGAGCTTCGAGTGAAACATTAATGTCAACCAATCATAAATGTAAACAAGAGCAATGCCAAAAATAATAAAAGAAGGAAGAAGTCTCTTCTTTCGAGAAAACAGGGTTTTCATAAGTCAATCTCCACGCCTAGGTACTTTGGATTTTTAAATGATTTTTTCATAACTCTTGTACCTGAATACCATTCGGAGGATCGTGGCCGCTATCTATCACTATCTATAAAAATTAGGTATCACGTTTTCAACAAGTGATCGGATCTACAAGTTTTCTTATAGAAAAAAATCAATTAGAGACTTCCTAGGAGGCTGAGCACACTGACACAAGATGTAAAGCGCAACGTTTGGACTCCCCTGGTTGGCTGGGATCGCATACCAACTTCACATTCAAACAAACATGCTCAGAAATAGCATTGCTAAGAGTGTGGTCTCAAGAGTAAATATAATATCTTTGCGAATTTCGCCCAAAATGATTTGTATATTTAGCGCGGCATATGCCGGTAGCCCGTCAGTTTTATATGAGATATCATCGGAATAGGTTGTTTCTAAAGCAAAGAAAGGGAAGATAAAAATATATATGTATATATTATCGTTAAATAAATAAATAATAAAAAATAAAATCAACAAGATAACTTAATTTCTTTTGTGAGAACAACCACGTAAATCTTTGCATGAAAACGCTATTCAGACTACCTTTGTCATAGCCGTTCGATTGATATTTTATACAAAATATTTATTATTACATACATACATGTGTTATTTTCGGAACTTTCAAGTGTAAAGTGAAAGTAATTGCCAGAAAAACTTCTAACACAAAAAGTCGAGTAAAATATTTAGAACAAATCACGTCTTTCAATGCCTGAGGATTACAGAAATAAAAACAAAAACCTGATAAAGTAGTTATTTTTTTTTGTGGTGGAAAATGGATTAGCGCGTAAATATTATTGTCTATTATCAAAAGTCAAGATAAACCGTTGACAAACATAGATATTTCAAAAACATTGCAGACTCTCCTAAAACCAGTGATAAAAAGTGAACAATAGTAAGCACGGACTTGGTTGAAGCACTTCAATTCTGTCTCTCAACTCGTTATAAAGGTAAGCAATTGATAATATGAAATTTTCAATTTTAAAATCATGGAATGTAGGAGGGAGTATGGAGATTTATATGAACCAAACATTGTTCCATATAACTGTGGTCTGCTTAGTTTAGTTAGTTAGTTTGCCAACATAATAATTTCTATAATTTGGGATATACCTACTCATGAGCATATAGTCTACCAACTTATCTATTTTATTAATCACGTATTTAATTCAAGATTTGTGAATGTTAAATACCATAAATATATAATAATACCGGACCATAAATATATCTTTCATTGCGCGTGCTGCTGTTGAAGAGGATCGCCACACGATTCTTGCCACATGCCATTTGTGGCATGCCGCATGCTGGGAAGCTAGCAAATCAATTCAGTCTTATTTGTGACAGTAGTTAGACTGTAGGAACACACGTGCGCGCAACAGACAAATAACTTGATTACCATTGTAATTGCATTAACGGTGATTGCTTGTTTCGCAAAAGTCTGTCCACTGAAATTTCCTAATCAAACGTATGCCACTATAAATGTACATTCAAAAATAAATATTGAAATGTATAGTTGGAATGAGGTGTACATATGTAAATCTGTAAATTGCACGCGTATACATATGTAAATATGTATGTGTATATATAAATGACAACAATGGACACTGCATTCATATTAATATAAATACTCAAACCCAAATTAAAGCGCTCTTTGAGAATTTGTTAAAGCTATTGACCTATTTGCATTTATCAAATCTTAAAGATTACTAAAAATCACACAGGATTGACTAATTAATTATGGTCTGGTTCAGTATGCGCGAATTTTTCCACTAAGGACGCTGAGTTTTCCCAACACAATTTATATGGCTATACTTTTATTTCTACATACTTTTTATTGTTAAACTGAATTTGATCAGATCTTAATGCTTAACACATGTATAAACATATATGTACTTTTGAGTTGATATTGGTTTGTATTCATTGCTGTTGTTGTAACGATAAAGCGTATTCCGAAATGCTAACATTCCTTTGCTATTTTTAAAAATATCAGCGGCCAGTACGGCGCCGATGCTTTCATAGTAACCACGTCAGCTGGAGGAAGCGACAGCCAAAAGATCTAAAAAGTGTCGACACACTGATCACAACCGACCATTAATATTTCGTTTTTGCTGAACTTAGACGAAGATGTGCGTTGGTCCCTTACATTTTTCAAAAGTTTATATAAGTAATAGAATAGTTTTCGTTTTCTGCATGAAGTTTATTAGGGTGATGCTGCTACTGCAACATTGATATAAATATACATATGTATATGCTGATATACATATTTTTAATCTGTTTCCAAATGCTTCCTCACAAGCATGATCTTATGGTCATTAAGTTATTAATTATTGATCATCCAAATTAAAATTCGCAAATGTATGCATATGTATATGTATGTACTATATTTGGGACATATAATTCTGTTAGATGCTTCTATGAGTTTCATTTCCTACTTGAAATTCGAGCGTTTTCATGGTATCCCACTTATGTAGAGTCCTATGAGCTTTAAGTCGCCCCCGAATACAAGATTGCTTATATATTAGATCATTACTTTATTGGAAAGAACATTCATTGAATACATATCGTGATATTAGCCTGTCCTGTTCCTTTCAGTTTCCTCAACTTTTTAAGGGATATGGCCCCTATAGGATTTCAAAAAATCGATTTTTTTCGCTTAAACTATGCTTTATAGTCATAAAAATTAGTTTCAAGTTGATTTTTAGCGAGAATAATTTTTTTAAACGACTTTAAGCGTATAAAGTAAGTAGTACCTCCGGCTCAGCTATAGTTATATGTGAAACTTTAGACGCGTTTTTTCAAAACTACTTTTTTCTAATTGACTAGACAAATAACTTTACAATAAATATCCGATCGACTTTAAGTTTTGAGATTATCTTTATAATTGGATTTTGCATAGAAGTACGTACGGAAATTTCGACCCTTTTTATGGCCAGTTTATTACGAAATTATTGACAAAAAATTATATTTTTCTGCTCAAATGCCTATAATTTTTGTCCTTCTATAGAATAAGACTACTTTTTCATCAGCTTTAGGTTCAAACTTGATTAGTGTTGCATTAATTCGATGAATAAATGATTATATCATGAAAAAAATTAATGAATCTGCACATGATTTTATACCCGTTACAATGGCCATACATCTTAAGAAATAATAGCCTACACTTTGATTTTCCTACAGAGTATATTACAATATTTACACACTCATTTAACAAACAACAATAGAGTTATAAAAATTCCTAACGAATTCCATCTCGTTGTCATAAGCAGCAGATTTCAAGTACCTACTATCTTATCTTCGGTAGTCCTATCTACTGTATTATGGTGCCTTCTACACATTATTTAAGAAAGCGCTAAAATAAAATCAATTTGCCATGTTATATTTGCCATGTGCTCATACAAACACTTTTTTAAATATATTTATACGAATAAGTGTCTGCAATCACGATGATTATGTACATGCATAAACATAATTAGCTACAGTATGCCAGGTAAAAGGAACCAGAAAAATTCGAACTAAATCATAAAGCAGTTCAGCCTAAAATGGGAATTTCTCGTGGAAATTAAATTAACACAAATAAAATTATATTATTGTATTGTTTTGTATTTTCTTTGAAGATATGCTTCAAGCAAGACATTGCGTTTTTCAAGTGTTAATTTTACCGAAAGTGTATTGTATGTGTTCATAGATGGAAGAGAGGATTGAATTTTAATTTTTATTTTGATAAACCAAAGAGAACCTTTGAACTGGGTACAACGGTGCATACTTATCTCATATGTAACAAACACCATCCTCTTACAAGTTAAACGATAATAAATATCAGATCATTCATACGATAATGTTTTAAACATGCATATGTATTTTCAAAATTAAATTATAAATCTGTGCTTGTGTGTTCATTTTTCCGTTGTCTTTTCAGTTAAACAGTCATAATGAGAGCGGAGGATGTCCCGCGGGTGCGTCTCGCTGTTATTGGAAACGCCGATGTGGGGAAATCAGGTCGGTTATTTAAATGACCACATACAAATTGACAATATTTATATACATTATCAATAAAATGCAAATAAATGCGCAAATGTATTAAGCAGTCATATAAACATACTTGAACTTGCCAGTCAATGTCAAGATGTCATCAGCGAAATATGGAGTAAATCCTAAATTAATAACTCATAAATAATTAAGAATGAACAGAAGAGATGCGTCAACTTTTCACGTAATACGTCAGCGAATTTAATACATTTTTTCTTATTTAATTTCGTTTACTAAAAAGTCAAGAGTTTAAACTCAAAACTGAAAATTAAACTGTTACTCTTATTCAATAATCATGAGTAATCGTCCGTATATGTATGCACCCATGAAACATTATGCACACATAAGTCCGAAAGTACTCTGAAAAAAGAGTTCCAATTAGCATTAAGATGTTGTTGCTCTCTCTGTTATGTCGTTTTCTATATTTACACATATCATTTTCAAATTTAAGTAGCCTTAGTGTAAATGAACTTCTAATCAAAATGCTTAATTATTTGGTATCAATTCGAAAAGATATACATACATATATTGTATGTATTTCAATTAACATTAAAAACCATTGTTTTGAAAATTATTCAGTTAACTGGCAGTATAAATATATGTCGCGAGATTTGCTATAATTCTATTCAAGTGAGAACAGATTTAATATATTTGTTTTTTTAATTGCTATATGTTATATGTAAGTCCTCGTCGACAGTTTTCGTGATCGCGTCCTACTTGTACGATTGCATGATTGTCTTATCAATAGCCTTTTTTTCAATTTCTGAGATGAACGTCACCACAGTTGTGTAAGCATTTCTTCTCGAAAAATATATCCTCGTGTGTATATTTACATACATACACACCAGCAAGTTTGTATACTCGTATATTTTACTGAAACTGTAAATGCATGTAATGTACCCATTACAGTTGAAAATTGTGACACTAGTGCTGCAGACATATTATTATTAACAGGTATGGTATTCACAAGATATTTTCATAAAACCGAATCTCTTCTTTTGTATATGTCATCCCTGTATGTATATATTAAATTGCAATTATTTTGGGTGCCACAGGGCGTATGAGTGACAGTTCTACTACCATACAATCACCATATGATCAGCCCGTTATCGTTAAGAAAGAGTCTTTTAATAGCGATTGTCCGTCGGTAAACCAAACGTTAACTTCGATTGCACTGAAGAAAATTCAAAATTTTCCTTATAATAACTTTATTTCGATCGTTCAGTTTGTATGGCCGCCATATGCGATAGTGACCCAATATCGACAGTTCCGACAAATCAGCAGCTTCTTATGGTATAAGAAACATTTGTGTTATTGTATATCAAGATAGATCTATTTTGTGTAATTAATTAAATATTTTTCGCAAAATCTTAACTCAATTTATGCTAGCTTTCCCTATATAGTGTATATGTGAATGTACTGAAAAATATTTGACAGATCGAGAGATCACGCCACAAACAAAAAGTAGATAACCATGTTTTAGCTAAAATAATGTCAAAGTTGAATGATAGTTTCAATCGTTCACACCCACAAGCGTCAGTAACGCGAAAATTCGCACGGGCATTGAAATATTGGAAGACTGTCACAACAAATGTTTTACTCTAGATGGAGATTATGTGAAAGAATAAAGTCATTAAAAAAGGTTTTTTCACTGTTAGGCCACTGACTGGTTAGGTTGGTGTAGTATGTATGTACATATGTACCATGTGTTCATAAGTACAACGAAATTTGTATATTTGGCTGTTACACTTGATTTGACTGTGCATATTCCTTAAATATTCTGCATATTAATGCAAATATGTATGTATGTGTATGTTCATATGTGTATGTGTATCACTAAAATTTTCAATTGTTGTGTAAACAAAAATAATGCATTTCGTCAATGGAATGGAAATTATTATATTTTGATTTTTTGAATTGAAACAAAAATACAAACATAAGCGTAATGAGTGATAAATGGCTAAACAAAAATGAAAATAACGTAACTTCATATAACGGGTGAGTATCAATTCTGATGGTTCTATTGCTTTATATTTATAGCGTTGACAGTGCGTTATCTGACTGGCCGATTCATTGGCGAATATCGCTCCAACACAGATCTATTATATAATAAAACAATCTCTTTGACTGGCGGTCTGACGGAAGTAGAAATCGTTGATGTGTATGCCGGAAGCATGGACGATTTTCCAATGGAACAAGTAAATAAATAATTTCTTTTAGCGCAAACATGAACTTTTTAAATTATGCCTAAGTACATAAATATGTGTAAATATTAGTATGTACATAATTTTTTTTGTATTTCCGGAACACGGAATGTGGTAATGGAACGAAATTTTCTTGGTGATGTTTGCAGGTTCTTTGGGCCGACGCTTGCATGGTCGTCTACAATATAACGGAACGCAGAAGTTTAAACTATGCGACCAAATGTTTGGGTGAAATCAAAGCGCTACAAAATGCACCATCGGCGTACTTAATAGGCAATAAAGCCGATTTGGATCATTTGCGGGAGGTAAGTTTGCGTACTCTAACATATACCTTTATATATATATATATATATATATCAAATTTCATGGGCATAAAATGTGGGTGAATCATGAACTTCCCGTTTTGCCGTTTTTGCGTTTTAACGTTGTTAAATATTTACATACGTATCCATATTTAATTTCAGATACCTGAAAAAGAGGGTGCTGCTTTAGCTGCTGCATATTCCATAGGTTTTTGTGAAGTTTCCGTCGCCGAGTATACTCCTATATTGTCTAAGGCTTTTGAAAAATTGATTATCGACTCTCGAGCGCAACCACAAAAACAAATTCGTAAATTTTCTGTAAGTAAAATGCTGGGAACCCTTATTGGAAACAGTGGTTATGGCAGCAGTCGCAACTTGGCTATCAATCAGGGAACCGTGATACCCTGCCATAAGGGGGAGTTACACAAGACACGCGTTCTGAAGCGTCGGCAAGGATTCATGGCAACGTCCAGTTTATGACCGTCTGCTGAAACAGATTGGTAAAGAGATCAATATCAAAGGGCGGGTATGTGAGGTTTAAGCTTTGTATAAGTTAGTAGATAAATGTAACAAGTGATTTGATACACATATTAAGTGTACCTACTATATGTGCATACGAAAGGACAATGATTTCAACTTTTTTTGTTTTGAAATGGAATTTACTACACTATCTTAACTTATTGTTATAATAAAAATGACTGCAATAGTATACTAAGAAAAAATTAGAGTAAGTTAAAATTAAAACAGAAAAAACTTATATAGATTTTAATTAAAAAAATTATGTATTATAAATTTACTTATAAATATATATATGTATATATACATGTGGTAAAAGAATTTAGTCCATTAGAAGAAAAGACCTATACATACATATACACATATACTAATACCTACATATTTATACTAATATTTTGAATAATTCTAAGGCAGTTCGAAATTTCATTTGAAAACAGAAAAATGTTGAATTTCAAAAATTGAAATTATGTATTTTTTGTTTTCGAAAAATGCGCCTGAAAAGAACTGTGATATGTAGAAATTACAATTATTTTTATTTAAATAACATTTTAAACATTTGATTTAAAAATGTTCCGAATAAAATATTTACGGTTAAGTTTTTAAGAAAGCGTGAATCGATTTAAATTGTAACAATTTGTTAACGCAAATTGCTATACATTTTTATTAATTTAGTTTTGATTGATTAAACTTTTATTCTCGATCGTTCAGAAATTTTCTTTTATAAATTCCCTTCTGTTTATAAAATATAAATGCAAAAAAACTTCTTCAAGTTCAATTTTTTTTTTGTTTAAAAAGTAAAATTGTTCGAAACATTTTGAGACCGACTGTGACTTTGATTGCTAATTACGTTGAGTTCGATTAGAATTAGAAAGTCATATTTTGATAAATTTTTCTATTAACTATATTAATAAATAATCGTTGATTGGACAACATTATTCAATCGAAATACAGTTGGAAATTACGAGACAGTGCATTGCAGTAGCTTGGCTTTGAAACTTTTCAAGCCCATTCAGAAGTTTTACTGACTTTCACTTAATTCACAGTAATAAATATTAGAGCTTTGGTAACAATGCATTATATACTTTATACTTACATAAATATATGAACAAAACCAAAATTTAGGTATAATAGTAGAAATTATGCGATTTTTTATTTAGTCTAAGCCAAAGATAAGAACTATTTCCACTGTATTAAAAAAGAAAGAAATGTTTAATAAATTTCGTGAGAAATTTTATGTAACAAGAAATAAAATAAGTATTTTCTTTAAATCTTGTGCAATCTATGCAATCTTCGGCCAAGACTGAAGTTAGCAATGAGTTTTTTTTGTTGTATATGCGTATGCCTTGTTATGATTACTCATTCAAAGTATACAAGAGCTGAATCCTTAGCAATGACAGTTTCGATGGAATGTATAGTGTTAAATTGAGTTTTCGCGTTGGATGTACAAAGCTGGAATGAGGACTCGAAAACGAAAATGCAGCACGAATGGAAAATACCATTGTAAAATATATGTTTGATACGTTTTCAACAGGATCTCTCTGGATTATATTAAAATACTAATTCTGAATAAATTTTCCATAAATATTACCAGTATATACACCTATAAGGTCACATATCTCGAGTTGAAAAGTCTGTTCGACTTACCACAAAATGTCAAAATTTTCATATCTATCGAGCGGAGGATATTGTTAGCTCTTCAAACGAATTAATACAATCTTATATTATTTGGGTACTTTCTTTCATTTGTTGCACATTTAATCGTTGGTGGTTAAATGTTGGTGTAGGTAAATTGCGCAGGTGGTTAAATTACGGTTAAATCATTATAAAAACAAATTATGTATATAGTTATCAGTCAGTCGTCATTTTTTATTTCATTGCACACGGTTACACCAAAAGTGTATTTTGGTTATAAATCACACTATTTTCTTAAGACAAAGCTATGTACATTCATCCAAAATTAAATTTAGAAAAAAACTCGTTTAACAATTCACTTGTCCATGAAAGATATACAAAAACTAACTTAAAAGTAAAAAATATTGAGTAAAAAACATATATGTGATGTATATGTACATATGTACATATATAGGTATTTATACATTTGTGTTGAAGAATTTAGGTCTGCAGAACATTCTTTATGTAATTCAATACATCTTTGTGTGCAAGTACACCCATATGATCCACCCCATTTAAAGCTACGTTTGTAATATTGGCGCTTTGTCGATTGATCCATGCATGACAAGCACGTAGTGACCGCTGATTTACTGTTCCGTCACCTTTTCCCATTATTAATTTGGGTGTTTCATCAATGATAGTATCCTTTTTGTATTGTAAACTAAGGCGAAAGTAAAATAAGGTTTTTTATGGTATATGTATGTATTAAATGTGGCATCCAGAAATCTTTCAACATACCGCTCAACAGTGTCCAAACCGTCCCCGTACAGACAATGCAGTTCTATTTCTGGCGGACTAAAATTCAATGTGAATTGCAAATTGTCTGCTCGCATATGCCAACCAACGGAATAATCAATATCATCGAAGTATTGCTTCATTTGTGACATTGTATAAACGCGTGATGGGGTTTCTACTAAGACCTCCGAAGGTCGCCAGAAGAGCGGCGAGGGTAGCAACCATGCGGTAGAGGGATTAGTAATTTGTTCTTCTTTTAAAATTTTTCCACTGAGAAGAAACGAGTCTAAATCATCACCTTAAAAATAATATTTTGAAATAATTATTTGCGTACCTATAGCGTTATAAATTTTGAAGCAAATATCAAGAACAGTAATCTTTAAGAACCTTAACTTATTTATTTTAATATCTTACCCATTGCAAACACTTTAAGGGCTTTCATACTACCCGCCCATGCTCCGGCTAAACTTATTTGCCGGTTTACGTATTTTTTCCGCCATTCCGTAGTCTGTTGGTGGAGAAACACTAATGTCATTGGACTGCCCATGCTATGGGTTATGAACGTAACAGGCGATTTTGAGTTTCGTTCATATGAATCCTCAACAAGTTTTTTTAAATCAATGAAAAATTGACGATGTTCACCTAGAGCAAAATAAATAAAAATATACAATACGGTTATAATTGTACTTCAAAGACATACTTGGTCCTTTTCGAAAGTCATACGGTGCTCCATGTATATTCTTTTTTCGTTCATAACCCAAATCAACTAACACATTTGCAATATCTTTAAAGTAGGCCCCAGCTTTATTATGTGTAGGATCTATCCATTCGACCACTTCAGGATCACCCCAACCAGGAACACGTATCTCAACTCCTGGTGAATTGTGAGTTGTTCGAGTAATTTCATCATAATATAGTTTCACATTTTCGACCCAACAATAAACTGGCGGTATTACCAACAATTCTAAATTCAACCACAAGCTGTACCAATCAGATTTCTTTGCACAATACAGAAGGGAACTCGATTTATTCAGTTTCGCCTCGAGTTGGCTTCCCCCGTCGCCTGGAACTGTAACAAAACGTGTAGGTATTTATACGATAGTCGTCAATATTGGCAAGTGCCACATTTTGTGGTAAACAAATCAATACGTTGATGAAACTTACCAAATATTACCGGAGATAAAAATTTTGCTGCGTTGACCACTTCCTTTATAGAAAATAGAACTACATAGATCCAGAAAGAAGCCAACTTCATCGTTTTGTAATTTCCCCAAGAATTAAAAAAAAAAAATGCAAGCAACAATTTTTTTACTATATGTTTTTAAGTTACAGTTGAGAAAATTTATTTATTTGCTTTGTTTTCCACTCAGATCAGAAGAAATCGTTGTTCAGGTGAAATGACTCTAGCGACATTAGGAATATGGCGACTTATTGCTAACACAAGTTTATGAAATTTTGTTGCTTTTTTTGAAAACAAATTTATTACAATTTTAGTTTTTAGTGCAAATACTAATAATTAAATGTTATACTAGTATGCAGATAAGCTATTCGAAAATAAATTACTTATCTTTGTAAATCATCTGTAAAGCTGTTTACAAAAGTCATAAGCAAAGAACGTAAATTATAGAGAAGCTTCAATTTACGTTCTTTGGACCTTCTCTATAATTTACGTTCTTTGCTGCCTGAGTCCCCTTGATTGAGGTGGCAGCAGAACAACGTTGGTTTGTTCAAAGCTTTTTTCTCCAAATTCTATAGTGAATGAAATTGTTATAATTTATTAATGTTTTTAATTCATGTTAATTATAACCATTTTTCCTATTAATTAGAAGTGTAAAAATTAATTAGAAGTGAAAAAATTGGCAACTCTGGTGACAGTCAAATGGACAAGATCTCTCTTAAAGAGCATAGAACTATAAATTCGGCATTTCTAGCATTTAAATAAAGAGTGGGAATTTCGAAAGGCAACTGAGAATTCGCGTAAATATTAATAATCTATTAATTTTGCTGTAGGCTGTGATTAATATGGAGGAGGATTTGTTTAACATCCCATTACCGGACGTAAAACGAGAACTTCGTCGAGGCATTATCGAATGCCAAAAGCGAGGGCTAATTCAAAGCGCTAAGTGGCTCGCTGAAATGAGCCATGGCCTTAGTGATGTCGACTGTGATGAAGGTGGACCAAATCGTTGCAAACAACAATTTACGTCGGCGAATGAGGAATCTTGTCAGTTTCTGGATGGAATATCACAAGCAGAATATGATAATTATTTTCTAGCAAAAAGTTACTTTGATGTGCGTGAGTATGATCGAGCTGCGTACTTTGTGCGAAATTGTGAATCGTCTGTTCCACGTTTCCTTCACCTTTATGCCACCTTCCTGGCAAAAGAAAAAAAACGTTTGGACTCCACAACAGATCGTTCGAATTTGAATGATATAGGACACGTGCGAGATATGACAGAATTGCTGGCAATTCTTCGTTCAGAATATTCTCATGGTCGTCTTGATGGTTATGGTATATATCTTTATGGGGTTGTATTAAAATCATTGAATCTCAACAAAGTCGCAATACAAATGTTGGTACATGCAATTCGCTTAGCACCAATGTTATGGGCAGCTTATGTTGAACTAGCTCCGCTCATACTGGAAAAGGAAAAAATGTTGTCTCTAAATTTTGGAGGACATTGGATGCGGCACTTTTTTGTTGCGCACAGTTACATTGAAATGTATTTGAATGACGAAGGCTTAAAAGCATATGAAGATCTTCAACATGCAGGATTTCGTAAAAGTGTATATGTAACTTCACAAATGGCCCAAGCATATCACAATAAAAGAGGTTGGTACTTATTACATACTTATGTCCATAATAACAAATAGAACGCGAAACAATAATATAACTTGAGATAAAGTGATTAATATAAGTGTTTTTATTTCTTTCAATATTTTTTCAAAGATGTTGACAGAGCAATAGAAATTTTCCAAACACTACAAGAAATCGATCCGTATCGATTGGAAAATATGGACACGTACTCTAATTTACTTTTTGTAAAGGAATTGAAGACAGAAATGGCACAACTAGCGCATAAGGCAGTCAGTATTAATAAGTATTGTCCAGAAACATGCTGCGTTGTTGGTAAATTGTAATATTGACAGTCTTAACAACATTTAATTTTTATATTTTTTAGGCAACTATTACAGCATACGATCAGATCATCAAATGGCCATTGTCTACTTTCAGCGTGCTCTTAAATTAAATCCAAAATACTTATCAGCGTGGACATTAATGGGTCATGAATTTATGGAACTGAAAAATACAAATGCCGCTATACAAAGCTATCGCAAGGCGGTGGGTAAGTTACGAATGTTTTTTCCGAAAACCCTTGAATAACAAATATCGCTATTTTTAGAAGTTAATAAGCGAGATTATCGCGCCTGGTACGGATTGGGACAATCATATGAAATCCTCAAAATGCACTATTATAGTTTGTACTATTTCAAAATAGCCCACCAATTACGACCATATGATAGCCGAATGCTTGTGGCTTTAGGAGAAACATACGAAAAACTAGAAAAGTTCGAAAACGCCATTAAGTGTTATTGGAAAGCTTGTGATGTAGGTGACATAGAAGGAGTTGCTATGTGTAAATTAGCTGGCTTACATGAAAAAAGGGGAGAAATTGAAGATGCTGTTCAGTGTTATATAATGTATTGCGATGACGAAAGAGCAGCAACAGACAAACAAAGTTTATACCATGGTTTTATGACTTTGGCGAACTATTACGAGGGGAAAGGCCAATTTGACAAAGCTTCGCATTATGCATATAAATGTCTCGAATCCGATGAGGTAGTTACAAAAATATAATGTTTCATCACAATGTATATGATATTTTTATACTTTTTATAATTCTTTGTTTATGAATCCTTGATATATAGCGGAAATCTGAAGCAAAAGCATTGCTTAAAACAATTGAAAATAAACGTAGTGGGAAAACCGGAAACAGTGATAGTGAAGCGAACAATTCTGCGAATGCAAATGTCATAGCAGCAGATACGTCATCAGATGATGATATAGAGATGGAATTAAGTGAATATCTGTGTAGCGACTATGCATTGTCTTGTCAATCGGATATGAAAGCGCCTACAAAATCGGCAACAACCGATGCTGAAAGTATAACAAATATACATTTGGCATCAACTACAGCCGATATGAGCTTGAATGAAAGCGATTTGGCTGTTTCAAACAACGCAAATGAAACTGGCCCGAGTACAAGCGCGGCGGCAGTGAGTGCGATTGGGCAGTCAAATGAAAAATCAGCACAAATTAGAGATCCAGAGAGCAATGACGACGATCCACATTCCATGGAAATATCTTCAATTTCTATAGATTAAAATATGTTATTCAATATATGGTGAAGTAATAATTTGGCAATTGGAGCCCATATTTTCAATTATTTTCTTGTATAACATATTATTTATAATCTTTGCTAAACAAAGTACTTTTTAATACAATTGCTTTAGTATAAAGGATTAATCTAAGGTTATACTACAAAGTTAATAACATAATCGTTTTTTTTTTTTTGTAAAAGTATGCCAGTGACTGATTAGATTACTGCGGTACTTTAAATCTTATTCATGAACACTTATGTTGTTAAATATAATTGGTGTGATGTACCTACATACGTATGTCATCTATAAGTTTACTTCTAAACAATCGTTTGTTCTATATTACAAAATGCCTGAGTGCATTAACATACGTATTGATATTCAAATTTAATCAACACAATTGATTTTGTCATTAACACCTTTCTCTTTAACCCCCGAAAGGAGAGATAATAGTATTTTAATATGAAAAAAAATGTTCGATAATAACCAACTTAAAATAGTAAAAATATAGATTTGTACAAATGGAAATTATAAAAGTTTTGGTTTAACGTAAAAATTCCAATGAATACTACCGTGTTTTGGAGTGCTCTGAATATTTATATTTACCTAATTTTGCATAAAAAAGTTAAATCACTTGCACTTTTTCAAATGGGAAACGCGTGTGTATTTGTTGAATTAATATACAGATTCTTTCCTTCTTGTATTTTTTGCGTTAAATAATGTAAAAAAATAGCTAATTAAAAGAAAATTCTATATACTTATTGCTCGCGTTTAATACGTAAAACCAAGCTAATGAAAAATAACACCATAAAGAATAATATCCAAATGGAAAGTACGAATATGTCGTGCCCATACAAGTCAGCTTCCATATCCAACTCCTTTAGCAATTTAGTTGGTGATTTGAAGTAACAGAATTCTCTATAACATTGCAAATCGGGGCGACCATACCCATATATTGCTTGAATAAATGCCTCCATGGTATAACGGTAGAAGGAGATATCACACAATGGCCGGAAAATATCGGACACTTCATGAATACGTATGAAAAACCCTGAGAAAATCATAAAAGGAATCGATATTCCAGGTACTAATAGGATTGCCATCTACAAAATAAACAACCAAAAAAAACATATGTATCTTGTTTAATAATTCTTATACTTTCAGCTTTTCAAAGGTAGCTCACCTGCAATTCGAATATCGACCCAAACGCTAACCCCATAAAGTGACCCACAATGGCCAAAATTATACTAACCACCCAGCACATAGCAAATCGTACAACGTCATCCGGTTGACTAGTCATAAAGTAAATTATTGTCGTAAATAAAGTTGGACAAATAAGGAGCATCGGAAGATCTGAGGTGAGTTTTGAAGCATAGTAGGCTCTAAGGGAATACCAACCGTTTAAGTACTCACGTATAAAAACTGGCGTGTCCTGTGGACCTAAAAATATGCTCAATTTCAGATATTAACTTCGAATAAATATTCAACTGGTTGCAATTCACTTCGGAGGGTGAATTCGGAACCTTTGTACATACTTGTATGTACAATTCAAATTTTACTCACATAGTAATATCGAAGGCATTGCGTTGCCAAAGAAAATAAACATTATAATGAAAAAAATACAAGAAATATTTGTTAAAGTCCTGCCACCGTCATTGCCGATATCCCAAAATACTGCCCCAACAAGAACTGCAACAATAACATGCACTACAACACGTAACTGTACTGCTATCTATTTAAAAAGGAACAAATACAAAATAATTGCGTTATTAAACCTTGAAGTGCAATAAACTACCAGGTTCCTTGACATTGTGCGTAGAGATCTCCGTGTGAGTATGACCATTTGCCTGTAGACCCCTACCTTGGCTTTGGGACGTATGACTGTGAATCTGCATCGTTCATGTGTTGATCGTCCGCTTTCAGAGCCATTATGCGATGGCACGTTAATTGTGGTGTGATTATTCGAGTCATTTAATATTTTTGCTATGATAACGGAAATAACCAGTCATATACCAATCATAATGAGAAGAATAATAGATCAAATAGCTTTATAAATATATTGTAATGCTATTACATGCATTAAGATCACTTGCTCATCACATTAAGATTGCATACTTGTATATAATTAAATACCGTTATATACTAAATACGCCTAAGAATTGCTTGTTTTTAAGATATTACTTACTGTTTTCGTTTATTGCATTCGTTGCGTCTTCATTTAGATGGGTGGACGTTCCGCAATAACGGTTTTTGTTTCTTTCAATCAAACTCAGGATTTGTTCATTGTGCTCTTCACTGCTAACCTCTAAAGCTGGTGATAAAATAAACTTATACCTAAGTACATGCATACGTTATCCGGTAAAACCTGTATCGATAGGCTCTGAAACTCACCGAAATCGGCTGGGTTGTAGTATTCGGGAAATGCAAAGCCCGCTTCCTCAAAAGTGGGGATCATATCCACTTTTGGTCCTGAATACACCAAATTTCCCCGCGACATAACTATAACATCATCAAATAGTTTCATAAGTTTCGAACTGGGCTGATGAATTACACACACAATTATCCGGCCATCAAGCGCCAATCGTTTCATATAGTTGATTATCTGCAAACTGGAGACACTATCCAATCCACTAGTTGGCTCATCAAAAAACATAACCGGAGGATTAGTGACCAATTCTATAGCAATAGATAGACGTTTCCTCTCACCGCCAGAAAGATTACGCACTAATCTGTGTCGGCACTTCTCCATATTTAGTATCCGAATAATGTCGTTGACCTATGTGAAACATGTAAGGCACACAATTAGTGAAACTACTGTTGTGTGGTATTTGAAAATCCTGAACCCTCACAATTTTTTCTTTTTCTTCAGAAGTTGTTTTCGAAGGCAATTTAAGATCCACCGAATCGCTCATGGTCTCCTGCACCGTTAATAAATCGAGCAAGGCAAAATCTTGTGGAATGTAGCATGATACCTTGCGATATGCCAAGTTATTTCGCTCTTCTCCATTGAAGGTGATTTTGCCAGACACACCACTTGCTCTGAAAATATTTTAACACTTTACGTATGTACATATTAAGTAGAATATATCAAATTATTATTATACTTGAAGCCAGATAGGACATTGAGAATCGAAGTTTTCCCCGCACCAGATGGCCCCAGCACAGCGGTTAGACGACCAGATTTGAACTCTCCACATATGTCATTAAGTATCGTAACCAGTTTATTTTCTGATATAGAAAAATAAGTGGGAAAAATAGAATATTTACATAGCACACATACTTCTATGGTATATATATACATATACAATATATAGGTACACTTGTTTCAGCATTAAGTAAAATGCAGGAAAAACAATCTTGAGTTAAAATTCGGATGCTAGCTAATACTAACACTAAATAAATGTTTAAACACATAGATGCTGCGCTTGGTAGTACATATCCCGCATGTTTTTGTATCATGAATAATACGTTTGACTAAAAGGAAACCACGAAAAGGCGTAGGAATCCATTTATATAATATGAATCGCTTTAATACTTTTTATTAAATTTTACGGCATTTTAATTTAAACTTTGATTAGTTTGAATTTTAATTATAACGGTTTCAATTAGTTATTATTTTTAGCTTCAGTTGCTTTTTTTCCCAACTATATGACCAAAAACGATTTTTTTTTACCTAAATTTTTTAAATTGTAATTATGACCGCCTAAATGAATTATTATAAATTCGATTAGCGTGTAAATGAAAAACGTTGTCCCAAATAATTTTTTTATTTCTAATAACCATTGGTTTTTATTTCAATTATCTTACACTTTTCAATATATATCTTGATTTTTTGATAAAAATTCGACTTTGGCGCTAGCTATTGGCATATGATTACACCTATATCCGCCCTTTACATACGAACAAGATATTAAAGCAAATATACCCTAACTTCATTCCTAACTTTCAACACGGTTTTGTACTATGTTCCCGGATTATGTGACTCACTCGTGACTTACTCTGTTTAGCAGTATAGAAAACATTGCAGAATTGTAATATGAATTTCTCTTGACCCAAGAGGTTGCCATTTGCTGAACTGCCGCTGCCATTCGTCTCGATCTCCATTGCGTCATAGTTATCCTTATCTGGCATTTTCAAATATCACTATCCGCGCACGGTTATTAGAATAACCCAGTTATTTAATCTATATTGATATAATATCACTAACACCAAGTCGATTCACAGTTAAGGTTGAAATTAAAATAACTGAGTGTTTCACATACATAAATTTCGCTAACCTGCTAGATAGGTAATTAGACTTGCTATTATAATGTTAAGTGAATATATAAAATATACTTTTGAACTTACACACAACGAACGACCTACTATATTACTGGCCAGTGATTCCCAACTCATATGCACAACACTCAGAGAGGAAAACATTCTTGGGCGCACATTCAATCTTTATTTGTATATAAGTATGTAATGCATGTTTTTTTGAATATAATTTTTCTAGTTTCATAAATTTAATCTTATGTAGTTTTTATCACATTTTAAGTCTAATTCACTCTTTAGTCAAGCAATTAAAAATAATCATAAGATATTTATAAAGCATTGCTTTCACTTCACTTCATAAAAATTGTGGCTAACACATGAAAAACTCCAAGCAGACTAACGCACAATGCGAGTTTGTGATGGAGCACAATTTGGTCAACTGACCATATTCATGTACATGTAAATATGTGCATATACCATGCTGCTACATACATACGGCTAAATTTGATTGCGTTTGAGAAAGATACTCAGCTTGCCAGAAACAATTCAAACTAGAAACTGGTCTTTCATGGATCAGTGCACTGAGGCAACAAAGAGAGAACTCTATTACGGAAATTTAAATTGATCAAATACGAAGTGCATAGCAAAAAATAAAGAAAGTATCATACAAGTGGCTTATATTTTGTGATTCAGCTACTTTTTGTGGTAAAAATGACGAACTGCTTCGTGCTAACAGTCCTAAAATATAGCATTTTGTAACACAACAATGAAGTATCATAGTGCATTATCCAAATAAAAAAAGAAGCGTAACATTTGCAGAGTCCTTTAAACTGAGATTATATTACTACTGCATTGATAAGAAAGCTCTCAATATAGGCATACATTTATTTAATTGTACATATGTATATATATTATATATATTCAGCTTTAGCGAATACAGCAATAGCAGACGTACGTACAACGTGGCTTATCAATGTAATCAATTTAACAATATATATACATATGTATATAAGTAGCAAATGTATGGTGAATGTCCCATAGTTAGTCAGTACATATGAGATTAAATTATTATACTTGACCCATTACTTTATTACTGCAAAAAGTTAAACCTGAAATCCATAACGTCGCACATATAAACATACATACATACATGAGTTATGTATGGTATATGTTAATTGTGTAGCACAAGTGCAAATGACCTTAAATCGATCCTGGCTTGATGCGTTATCGCATAATTTTTAATTGGCGTATTACTTGAATAAATGTGGCTAAAGAAATTCAAATCTATGTATTTGTAACTAAATAATTCTTATAAAAAAACAAAAAAAATCCGAAAATAAAAATGTTCTCGATAATTTTAAAATGCATCCTTTCATTGGCGTACCAATTCGTATGTTGGATACAAATATTATATTATTCTCCCCAAAAGTTCAAAAATGGGTTTTGATGAATTTCGTATACAGCCAAAACCTATTGAGATATTGTTCCAATTGTTTGCTTTGAAGGCACTGTTTGTTATAACTACGAGCTGAAAATAACGTTGATACTAGCAATCAGCATCATAGCACCTTATACTTGAGTACATTCTGTTGATTTGTATGTAATTGCCTACACTCGACATCCGCGCATTAGCATTTTCTGATAAATATTTATTTATATGCGCTGCAATCAAATTGAATTGAATGATAACTACTAAAATTTATAGATGAATAAACTGCACTATTATTATTAAAATCCAAATGCGCTTATACCGTTTTGTGCGGTTCATTTTTGTAATTTGCATATACAAAAATACATATATATATTACATATAAGCATGTATGTACTAATACATATATTGTATATAACTATATATGCACATTCAATATCGTTGAAACACTTAATCAATTAATATTCACTCCACGGTGTCAATTATGAACTTGACCATTTTATTACACAAGTATTTTCTTGCTTTTTATTAATATAGTATAAATATTTCTTCATCATTATTCAACTAATATGAACTCATATTGACCTAGCGTATCCGCATATACTCAGGAACATTTGTCTTGTGAATTTACCGACTTCGACTGATTGCCTTCTAATCGCATTGTTAGCTTGGAGCTCCATGGCCGCTTGGTAATGTTCAGCCGCTCACACATGTTACTCACCGATTTAGTGATAACATGAAAGTTTCAAAGAGTGAAAATCGTGAGTACAAAGGCGATCGTTCGCAAATTGATCGCTCTTTCTCTGAGTTATAGTTTACATCAATTAAGACGATTCTCATATACAACAAATATATAGTATCTAAGTATATTTGCAATATATGATAGCTATAAATCAATATCGTTATGGCGGGACGCATAAATTTCAAATCGAAATTTCTTCCTCATAAGCAAAGTTTATTATGAAAGGGATGCGAAAGCTTACATATGAAGATCTGCGCAATTGCGACTGCCTGTCTGTGGAGGTACACTTCGAGGTTTGATGTTACCAGCCGAGCGCTAGCGGTTTTCTAAAATATTAGATGTTGTCTGTATTGTATTCATCCACTGCGGGAAACCACTAATAAAATACCCGGCTCCTTGAGTAGGATAGGCTCCGTTCGCTTATCTAGTTTATTTCAGGTTCCAGAATAAATAGGCACAAAGCACCACAATGCCACATGGAGTCAAAGGGGAATCGATTTTTATCTTTCAAGAATTATTAATCACATTTACAAAATTTCGTTGCAATTAGCTAATTCGCCCACGAAGGTGGTGTTTCTATATACTGGTATACATGTGCATATTTCTATAGCTATCTCGATTACTTTATGATTTTCTAAATATAACAAGTACGAGCAAAATTTCTAGCAAAATAATTTTTTTTAATCAGTGAAGTGGAAAATACGTATTTTTGAATGTCGTTGGGCTGATCCATTATACTCTTGTAAACAGTTATTAATTTCGATCCAATATTCATGAAAAATTTCTATTCGATTAATTCTTCCGTTAGTTAGTAAAAAATCACGGCTATTGCTCCAGAATGAAATAAGCTTATGTTCTATCATTTGGAATTGTTTGGCTCGTTTATTTTCTTCAATTCGAATACTTAATCAGACAATATATTGATACAATTTTTAATGTGGCATTTCTTATATAATGAGAATTAGAAATTGTGCACCAAATATGCATATATGCATATACATATGGTACATATAAATTTATATACACATATATAATGCGTATATTACTTGGATGATCAAATGGATCTAAGAAAAATTAGTTTTTGACTTCATGAAACTCATTGCACACTATACGTGCAGAAATATATGCTTAAATAATTGATAACGCGCTTTTACTCGCTTTTAATTATCGTAGAATTATAAATGAATAAAACATGAAACTTTCTTACACATATCTATCATCCCGAATAGTACCCTCCAAATGTCGCACGCAAAAAAAATGGCAAAACTTTTTTCTCATTGTGATACAACACCCTTTCTCATTCGTGTTATGATGTGTTGGCATTTTTATACTATGCCCAAATATCCGAGAGGTAAATAATCAATATAAGTTGTACTTGTATTCATTATTTTGTGAGCCTTATGGCCAATTCACAAAGAACTTTTGCTTCGCTTTGCGTCAGACATTTGTTTTGGCGTTTTGCTTTCCAGGCTTGTCTCCAATATTGCAACTGTTGCTTGGCAAAGCGTGAAATGATGGGAGTTGCTCAACATTTATCCTATGTGAATTATGTGCCCTATTTTAAATCGATGTGTAAGATTTTTTGGTTGTCCGGAATGAGAAGACACATTTACTGAAGAAGGAATAAGAAATTACGTAGACTTGCTATATTAAAATATAAATAAATATATATAGGTAAACATAAACATACAGATGTGTGTACGAGTATATATTTTACAACCATAAATTTAATTGTAAATAAATTTTATTAAATATAAAAACATCGCTTAAATTATTTAAAGCCACTTTTAAATAAAAATACCTTTATTACATTGCGGTTTTAAATACTTGAGTGGATAAGATTACCAAATTCAATTTGAAAAGTGAGGAATGTTCTAAACGTTAAACAATCTTCAATTATAAAAATGAAACTATTACAAAAACACAACATCGACGGTTGTGAGGTTCTCCTAAGAAACAAAAAAAACATGTGAGTAATTCCACTTCATTGTAAAGGTACAGAGGCTGTTATTTGACTGGTATTTGATTTACTAATCGAAGTAAAACCTCTCTCTTACTTTCAAAGTGATTATCGATGAAGTCACGTTGAGAGCATTTCAAAATTTAGTTCAAATGGGTTACTTCTAATGCTCGTGCTAAACTTTGAAGGAAAGATCTTAAAATTTAAAGATGTATATTTAAACATACATTTCATTCTCTTCGAGGTCAACCATGAAACTGTAAATCGGTTTCTGATTAATTATTCTTACAACTACTTTGTTTTCTATATATGTACATCATGTATATATTGCTCTGTTATAATGATTGTTGTGTACTAAGGGCCTATTTTGAGCTATTCTCCATTTCATTAAAATACAAGGATGTAAATTAACCGTATAATACAAAATTGTTGCCTAAAATATATACAGCATATTTCATCTGAATAATCTCAACCTGAAAGACATGATATAAAATGCGAGAATTCTTAGCACGATAAATAGTGATAACAAAAATATGGCAGCCAGTTTATAATTTGCATTGGCTAAATCCATGTTCTTAAGGAAGAATGCAGGATGAGAGTGATGGCAGTAAAATTCTTTGCACTCCAATTTTCCCCGACCGTAACCGAAAAGCGACAACATCGAGCCATCCAAAGCGTACTTTAGGAATGAAATGTCGAACAACCATTTTAAATAGAATGGTGAGTCTTTTCTTTGAAGGAAGAATCCGGAAAACGCCAGGAAAGGACAAATAAAAAATGGTCCTAAGATGGCGCCATACTGAAAGTAACCATAAAATAATTAACATAATTTTTATACTTGTACATATGCATGCATATGAATATAAAACTTACATGAACACTTAGAGCTGAGCCTACACTGAGTCCAATGCTTTGTCCGACAAGAGCTGTAAGGAAAACGATCGTGAAGAACAAAGCGAATCGAATTACGTCCATAGGCTGTCCAGTCAGATAGTACGTGGGAAATATGAAGAGACTCGTACATATAAGTTGTATTGGTATATCGGCAAGCGTAATCGCAATATAATAAGCGCGAAGTGAATACCAACGATTGAAATGCTCTCGTGAAACTATGGGGAATTCTAGGGGAACTGAAAAAATATTAAAATTATTAGTCTGTAATTAGAGAAATGTTGCTCATTACATTTCGTTAGGATCGACGAGAAGGCACAGAACATGATGAACATTATTGTATAAAAGGTATAACGGAAAATATTCATTGCATTCGCGGCATCATTTCCAATATCATAGTAAAGGAAGCCGATGAGCAGCGCCACGCCGAAATGAATACTGAATCGCAGTGTTGTAAGTGATTTATCACGCCAAAGAAGTAGAAAAGTACGGGTTAGCAAAATTGCTAATTGACGGTAAAATGGTGTAGCATAAATATTGTCACTTTTACAAAGATGTCCGGTATCAATTGATATTCTCGATTTCCTCGGTTTGGAAAATCTGCTATCACTACAGCATTGCTGCTGTTTCTCTTTGGTATGTGTGTACGTGTTAGAATCACGTGATGGCAATTCTTCAACTGGAGTCAATGGCACATTAGTATTTGTTGTTGACGTTGAATTTGTTGTTGAAAAGGAAAATGAACGATTGACTAGTCGATACCCAGTATTACGACCGTTTTGCATTTTTTCAATAAGCAGTTTATTATTTGGACCATAATCATTTGTCCCTATTTCCATAACTATTAAAAAATAAAAATATTAAATTTAATATTATTTGCTAATTTATAAGGGAATTATGTAATGAGACATAAGACTTACGAAAGTCGCAAGGATTGTACGATTGTGGACAGTGTAAACCATTTTCAGCTAGAAAGGGAACCAAATTATCTGTTCTGCCTGCATATATGCAGGAGCCCTCTGCGATCGCGAACAAATGATCGATCATTCGAAATACAATGGCGCTGGGCTGGTGAATTGTGCATATGATCGTACGACCTTCCATCGCCAGAGTTTTTAATAGAGAAATACACTGATTAGATGTAGAACTGTCCAGCCCACTGTAAAATTTAGAAGATAAGCAATATATTAGTTATGCTATTTTACAAGCTGTCACCGAACAGAGGTTGTTCTCTTTGAATTTTTAAAAAGGGATTTGTAAACTGGAAATATAGTATTTTTTGATTTGATGAGCACTGTCTAAAACTGCATGTAGATTTTCATTTCCATTTTATTTATTTTATCCTAATCTAACAAAACCTTTGTAGGACTATAACATGTTTTCATTTTTTGTTTATTCCATTACTAATATAAGCTTCTGATTATTTACCTGGTTGGCTCATCTAAAATTAAAACTGGTGGGTTATTCACTATTTCTAGTGAAATCGCCAATCGTTTCTTTTGGCCACCCGATAAGTCACCAGTCCTCGTATTGAGCGACTCAAGCAAACCCATGGCATTCAGAATTTTCAACACCTAATGATTTATAATATAGCTTAAGATATAACTGAATGTTATGAAAAAAATCTTCATTTTGTTATGTACCCGCTCACGTTTTTGTATCGCGTTCATTTGGTCACCAATTTTGAGGTTAGCAGCAAAATTCATTGCCTCCTTAACTGTGAGAAATGGTTGTAGTGTGGTATCCTGAGTGATAAAAGCTACATTTGGTTTGAATGTTTTCACGTCACGCGGATTACCGTTGATCCTTATATCTCCCGAAAACCCATAAAGCCTATAAATGAAAAATAAAAATTTTAGAGAATTTATCGAAATTAAAATTTATTTTTCTATTACGTGTATGATGAGAGAATATTGAGCAGTGTGCTCTTGCCGGCTCCAGACGGACCTACGACTGCACTGAGTTCACCGGAACGAAATTCTCCCGTGAAGCCATTGAGTACCTGCTTATCTTCTGAAAAGACTCAAACAAAAGATTTCAAACGTAAATCGCTTAAAATAAACTGTTACACTCAACTGTCATGTTCAAAATAAATAAATAAGAAGACGAAGAGATTATAAGACAATAAAAATTTTGCTAGTGAAGTAATATTAAGCTTCATGCATATGTAGGTATGTAAATACTTAAAAATTAAGACCGATAAACAAATACATCGGAAAGAAATTGATATATCTTCAAACCGATCCATAGAGAATCAACGTTTAAAAGTTAAAACAGAAAGTACCCTTTATATATTCAAAATTTGAATATTCGTCCAATTTCTGTTTATGTTGTTAAATCTGTAATGCATATTAAGGATAATCTGTAAAAATATAAAGCGTATAATATAATATACTTCTAGAAGTCTGTTTAGGGAATTAATTTAAATTTGTGGATTTGGTATGAATCCATTCATAATGAGTACAAAGACTACTGATTACCTGTCTTATCAAAACTTTTCGGAATTGAAATGCCAAATTCCCCACTTTCAAGAGGTTGCTGATTAAAAGTAGTTTCTGGTAATAAAACTTGCTGCAAATTTAACCGATTAAAGTCGAACAGATTAACAAATACTTAGTAATCGCGTATCTTGTTTGATTGCGTCAAGTGGCCAGATTACTGTACTTATTCTATGGTATACTCACATCAAAATACAAAATTTTTGTAATATTTATAATTTAGGTTTTTTGTAGAAGTTTTCCAGCTATAAGAAAACAAATTATCACTAATAATACATTCATAAGTAAATACGTGTATATGGACATATACAATGGTGAGCCATACAGCATTCGCTAATTAATTATTTGCCAAAAACTGATTAAGCTTTAAAATAGTTATAATGGGAGCAATGTAAAGGACTTATGTCTGGTTCTCATAGGACTTTTGCTTCGATTTGCATCAGACATTTCCTTTGACAGATAAGTTCTATGGAGCGCAGCAAAGCGAAGCTAAATGTTGTTTCATATTTTGCGCTTTGCCAAGCAACTGTCGCCAATTTTATAACGCTTTTATTACCTCCACCTTCATGTTTATTTGTTGGTATGTATGTATGTTTGTATAAACTGAGATATCTTGATGAAACGTGCTACATATGTTCCTTGGCACCCAAAAGAGGTCGGTATTGCAGATGGGCGTAATCGGGCCACTGCCGACGTCCACAAAACGCCATTAAGAGCAAACCTATAAAGTACCATAACTAAGCACTAAATTAAAATACCGAACTGTAATTTGTCACAGGGGATCGCGGTAACAAGGGACACCTACTGGCAGAAATAAATAATAAAAAAAAAAATCAGATAATAACCACGCCTACTCCCTATATAACGGTTATGTTGAAAACTACTAAAAGTGCGATAACTCACTAAATAAATGCCCCATAGCATTAAATTTCACAAACAAGACGGTAGAAGCGAGCTATATAGGAGGAGGTGTAAAAATTAGAAAATGGGCGTGGCTCCACCAATCTTTAGGTGAACTCCTATATCTCAACCAAGTTTCACACACTGTGAAAATGGGCGAAATCGTACAACGATTATAAAACTATGCAGCTAAAAGCATCAACTATTCATGCTATGATTTGAATAACAAATTTACTCAAACGTATCCTTGAAGAAAGTGAAAACACCACATGTGGCTACATAATATTTTAAGTATGGTTTAAAACACTAAAAACGTGCTTTTAAAGTTTGTGATATACTTCTCGTATATCGAGCACATCACACTTAGCATGGGCCCGAAACTCTGTTTGAAATTATGTTAACTATGACGAAGTCGAGAGGAATTATTGATCAGTGTATGTATATGTATATCCGATTTTTAGTAGCTAGCGCTCAATCCAAACTTTGTTCTAAACTTTTAAATATGATGTCGAAGAAGGCAGGTGTCAAAGCTGAGTAAAGGTTTTCTATGATCGGGTATAAAAATGTTTGAAATATATCAAACCGTCCTAAATTTGACATATGTATGCAAGTAGTATATATAAGTGCCTATTTCAGTTAGAGGTATCGACGGGCATATCTATTGATACGAGCACACGGGCGTGACGAATGGTTTACTCTATCAATGATGGCGATAAGAAAAAATTAAAAATTAAGTTTATTTTAAAGGTACATTTAATGAGGGATAATATTGTTATTATCTCTGCTTTTAATAATAGTTAAGCGCACCTAGTTTGACCGCGTAAAAGATATGATTTTTGGGGATTGCATGTCTTAAAAGCAAACTACGGCATGAAATGTTTTAAAATATTGAGTTATATATAATTAAAGAAATTACACACCAAATTTAAGAAAAATAAGAAGAAACGTTAAGTTCGTGTACACCGAAAAAGATATTTTATGTAAAATTTGAAGGCGTGATGTCCAAAATGCCTCAGCTCGTCACCCAGATCATTACCATATATACTTTACAGACCCTCCGACGTTTCCTTCTGGGTGTAATAAACTTCGTGAAAAACTTAATATACCCTGCAAATGCAGATATTGAACAGGTGTTCATTATCTATGTTTTATACGAGTTTATCAATATCGAACACCTGCTCAGACTAAAAGTACGTAATTGGGGGACTAGTTATCAATCTCTCAATGCTCATTAACACTGATGGTAGGTGTTATGGAAAATGTTGGAGTTTTTAAATGCCAAATGACCAGTACGCAATGTTATATATGAGTTAAACATGTAAGATTTTTACTAAAATACGAAACTTTCTAAACTTTCTTGTGTCAGTGAAAAGTTATTCGTTTTAACTATAATGGAAATATTTTACTATCAAGGTCATATTCATATTCGAATACGTTTACCAGAATGTGTGGTCCTAAGCCATGTAGGCGTGCTCGCTAGATTCATGACAAATGCAATAATGGGTAGACAGTTGATTTCAACTAAGTGGCTCTTCCGTTCGTATACTACGCGAAAATCCAAAGATCATTCAACTACAAACTACATCAATTTTGCATGTGGTACAAAAATAAGAATGGCGTACTGCAATATATTTATTCATACATAAATATGTTTCTATATACATGCACAGAGCCTATTCTTAAGTTATTAAGAACACTGATTGTGATGAAAACATCTTCTTAATTATGCGTTTACAGTTAGTTTTCAGAATTAATGCAGATTCAACCAGAGCGGACTATAGCAGACAACAGGCGTTTGTTTCTCGATTAAACCCAAAAATTATTTCCTCTTTTCTGTTTGATATTATAAAAAAACATTACAGCGGTACAAAATGTATTTTTAAATCAACTTAAATGCAGGCTAAAATTAATTATTTCATTAAAATGAATGTGTTCCAACCATTGAGTTCAACAATCCCTCGAAGTGGATAAATTCTTTCATTTAACATACAAAAGAGTGGTAAAAAAATAATTGTACTTTTGTTTTGTGCTCGGAAATCTGTATTTAGCCAAAACTGTATAATTATTAATTTTCGTACGAAAAACGTTTTTAGCGGGTAGGCCCTGTTATAGATATCATTCATTCATATTTGAAACTAAATTATCACATGCTAAGAATAATTCGTCCCTAGCCTGACCTAGCATAAAAAGTACGGTTCATCAAAGAGAAAAAAGAAAGAATTCTTTCGAAAGCTCGTGTTTGCTGACAATAGTATTAAGAAAATATATATTTAAAACGTACGCATTTATATGTACATATGTACAAATACAATCGTACATTCGTGGATTATTCAATAATTTTGTTCAATATTAGATATGTGTACTAGTATTAACACTTGTACTACTAACCTCTTTTGAGTAAACCCGTCTTAACACCGTAGAAAATATTTTCAAAACTTATGTTTATCGATTTAACTTGCTTCGGGTATTCATGTTGTAGCGATCTAGTTACTTTCGCCATTGGTCCACTTTCATATGGAGAAGACTGATGCGTTCTACTTGCCGTAGCGTATCCAGCGTTCGAAAGAGTTGCGTTGCCGGTTTCCGCAAACTCGTTTTCAAAAGACTCGACCTTCGCAAGCCGCCTATTTATTGATATGTTGTCCGAATGATTCGTGTTATTACTATCGTATTTATGAACTGCTTCTGGCGTTTTAGTTTTTATCGACTCTGTCGACTCTGAAATCTCCTTTTCGAGCTTTATGTGTCCGTGCTTATCACTCGCCATATAATGTTCATTCGTACTTATACTATTGATGTTTCTACTGCTGTTGAAATCGCAATTATTGTCTTCGGTTTTAGTTTTTTTAGCGGCTTGATCACTGTTTGTACTATATGAAAGTTCGATGGCGGAGAGCAATCCAATGTTTATATTGGGTGTAGACATTTTAATTATCCGTATTTCTGTTCTTGAACTTTTTAAGTTTTTTATTGAACCAGCTCTTAACTTTTCTTATTTAAATTAAAACTACCGAATAATTGTATAGAATAAATGTTAAGCTTTCTAAAAAATTTAACTCGAAAATAGTACACTTAAAAGTAATGATGAGTAATTTAATTTCATTATTATTGTCTTTAATGCACTATTTTTTTAATGTGTACGCAGTTGGAACCTGTGACTAAACATTATTTAATCATCCATGCGGTCTGTTGCTAAACTGACGCACAGCTATTGATATTACAATTTCATAGATCACTCGGAACTATCATTTTTGTTTTAAATGGGCAATGGCTTCACTAAATTTGGTTAACAAAAATTCAAAATTATGTAGATGAACTTAAAAATCGCATTATCATATATATACTTATGTACATACATACATATAGGTGTGTGAGTAACACATATTCATAGATATGGTATATATAATAATTAAGTTCATATCCGTCTTCCAATTGTGCAATGAAATTTAATAACTTTAAAGTAATCTTATTTCATATACACAAACATTCAAACAAATTATTTTTTTGTGGTTTCATAATTTTTCTTTTTGTTTATTATTATTGCACTTCGCATTTACTTCAGCATTCATAAAGTGCATTTGTTGTCTTTGTTTTGATTATATGCGTCGTACTTTGGCTTTTACATGTACATCCACATTTTCTCTTTCTGATTGTTTATTTGTGGGTTTTGTTTTTTCATTGCACTCTCGCACACAAGACCAGTAGTGAAAAGCTGAGTTGCGGGGGACAAGTTTTAATGTTTATACGGTCGGGGATTATTTAAGACCGCAATCTGACTCATAATCATATCATGCATTTCAGTTTATGCAATTTTGTATTTGACACTCTGATTTCTGCAATCCATTTCTCTTTTGTAAGAAATAGCAAACCAACCAATTATACTCACAAAATTATTCAAGAGAGGAGGATTATAAACACTTTAACATCGGAAAGTAAAGTTACACAATTCATATGTACGTTGCTTTATGTTAATGCAAATATATACAAAAAGTTAGTATAAAAACACCTTAGACATTAAAAAGCCCAACTAAAGGATTTGTAAATTATTTATAATGAATCGCGTATAAAAAATAATTGTATTAATTATCAAATCCAATGTGTACAAATGTAAGAAGAGTTCGTCGTAGATATGTAGATATACATGTGTGTGTCTAATAATATTAAGCAGTCTCGCTTGAACTTCTAAGCTCTCACCAAATATAAATAAATTTTAGACAGAGCGAGCTTGTTTATACATCTGCATACATACATACATACTTGTACGTATATTTGAATATACTTTCATTTCGGTGTTTTGGTTTAATTTCTGTTTTTTATACATATCAATCCGTCCGCAAAATTTGAATTGCTAAACGTAATCTGCGGTAGGAGAGCTCAAATGCAGTGTAGCGTGAGCTTGTCAATGAGCATTTCGATTTGCAAATAATTTACTAGTGTATAATTCGTTCCATTCCCACGCCCATCACTTGTTTCTCCTCCTCTATTTACATATGCCCCACATTTTATTACTTTTATTATTACATCTTGGTTGGCACTCGTTTTGCTTTTTTAAACATGGAATGGACAAGTACATTACACATACATACATACATGAAGAGTATTTCTTCAAATATTAGCATTTTATACTGCAATCATGTTAATAACGTGCTAGCTGATAAACTTTTGAACTATATTAATCAAGCTATGAACATACATACATAAATATGTATGTCCTGATTGCAAATAGTGATGTACCACGCAAACTTGAAGTACGATATGGATATGCCAGTCTGTGGATCCCTTTTGAGAGCCCAAAATTGGCAAACAACTAATTTGAAGACTCTTTATATACCCTACGTATAATTGTGGTCATTTTACATTTTACACTCTTTTGATCATAGCTGATTATTAGTTAGGCGTCTCTCGCTGTCTACCACTTAAAAGGCTTCGAAGAAGAAAGTGGAAGTGTATGTATGTATGTAAGTATATACATATGATCGCCATTAACGAATGTGGTCTAACGAATTGTGGGCTCCTGGCCACAAAAAACATATGAGGCGGCAATAATTGATACCTTGAGAGAAAGTGTATTGGGCGACCTCTTTAACTTGTTTCGTAGTTTTCATCTCTTTAGTTTTGGGTATGTTCCTATTATGTACACGCATGTTCATATCTACATATGCTGAAATTATTTTAGCACATGCACTTGTCAAGTTGTTCTTCTAGAAAAACATGCCTAGTATTTCAAAAAACTCGTATGTGATCTCTCAGCATACTAAATAGTATGTACATATGTACGTACATATGATTAACATTTTTATCACTTTGCCGGCGAAATTGTAAAATACACCTTAAGTACATATATATATTCATATATACTTTGTTTTACTTATATCACGCACTATTTCCGAAAGCCAAACACTCGAAAAACATGGATATGCATTATAATTTTTGCAGAATTAATCGAATGTAATAACTATTGTATTCAACTCGTACTTTAAACTACTGTTATATTTTTTAACACTTCATTGCATTTGAGGTATACGCGTTTTCATGTTTGTATTGGTTGTAATAGATATGTTGATTCATATATGTACTTGTGATTTGATTGCAGGTGAGATTACTAATAAGCGCGCGCTTATTTGAAGGAGAAAGAAAAGTTTATCTTAAATAGTTTAATTTAACAGTTCTCGAAAGTATTTCCATATTTTTGTGTTGTAATCACTCTTCTAAAATTAAACCAGGTACCTTTGGAAACACTTATCGCTAATGTTCTATGCGAGGTATTACCGCGACTTACTAGCAAACACGTTCAACGCAATTTCACAGACTGATTTGAGTAAGCGGCGAAGTCCACAAAATGCTTGCAATCAACTACCCCTGAATACAGCCGAGACGCCTCTAGCAAACTCTCATCTAAATACGAATATTCATAGGTATGTATGTATACGTGTACTGCCAGAAACGAATATATTTTACTTGGTACATTGAAAATCAGTGTTGCCTTTAACCAATTCTTCCCTATCAAGTGCGGTCTTAAACGCCCCTGTCATTTACAAAATGTAATACATAAAACTATATCGCAAATAAGTACATAATGTTCTTAAATAACATACAAAGTATTAGTAAATATTCAAATGAAGTGTAAATATATCTATCAATTTGAATCATATTTGTGTATTTACGAAACTTCCACGGACACAAGTCTAACATTTTTCTTATCTGAAATCTGTTAAATTAGTAAATATCTCTACTGGTGTTGCGCCGCTGTAAAGTAGTTCTTGCTCTCTCCTCTCTTTGTCTTCTTCGTTTTATTGTTGTTAAGATTTTTAGTTTATCAGAATTGAGTATTATTACGTTCACTCTGCTTCGTTTTGTATTAATTTATATTCTCTAGACAGCACATTTGTTGATTAATTTACTGATAAGAAACTATTTCTTTACATAAACGATTAGTTATAATAATTGCATATACATATATCTGGTATTGAAATCTTAGTTTTTAACATAAAAAGAGCTTCCTTGTTTTACCTAAAACAATTAAACAATATATTAAAATAAATATTTATAAAATATGTATAACTGTATATTAAAGTCAATATACTCTACCACCCGTTTGTTATATATCTTTATCTTGGTTGTTTATGCCCTATGGCTTTTATATACTTTTATATGTGCAACTTTGATAATACTACAATACTTAACAATTGAAGTTGCAGAGCTTAAGATGACAAATGGATGTAGAGCCCAGTTGAAAAATCACAGATGCATATCTTAGTAATAAAATCTTGAATACATCTGCAATCGGAAAAATAAAAACTTAAACAAAATCGTAATACCAGTAAAAGCTAGTGTACTACGCCTAAAAGTATGCTCTATTGTGTGCTTTGTGTCATATTTTTTTATACCGAGCATACCACGCTTGTCTCACACGTATATTTGGTTTATTATTACTGTCAACTTACACATACAAGTATTATTATTTTTCACGTTTCAGTTTTACATACTTTAAAAGCGTGTTTTTTAGTTTTTTAAACTATATTTATTGTTAGGAACATTGTGCCATTCAATATGTGCTTTACTCGACCGTTCATATTGAGATATCGCTCCCAACTCTATCATAAATGCCGATCGGGTCTGCTTTCTCTAGTGACTGAAACCAAGACCGCGACTTACTCGTGGAATTTTTAAAGATTTTGTTTGAATCAAATCAAATAGCAATCCAGAAGAAAAAGATAAGATAAGTTTATATAAATTCTACTGTGGTAGGTGTCTAAGATAAGTAATCGTAAAGCCGCTGCATCTTTCAGAGTTTGAGAAAGAATAGTATGCCATACCAGATAATTTATTATCTCTATCACCATCAGAAAATAAGCCTTATTAATTATGGGATCCCTAACAATAAATAGATTTATAAAAATATTTACTTTCTTGTGGCAATTTCAAACCGGTTTGAAAACAACGTCTTGTTTATAATAAATACACTTTAATTCTTTAGTTTCGATACGTTTAATATTTTGCAAGTATTTGAACACTTAGGATAAGAGATGTAATTTTATCAAGTTTTTTTCTCTATTACCTATGATATTATGTCCTTTAAATATTGTTACAAACATATACATACATACCTGATATGACTTTTGTTAAACTTTAATCGAAATCACTTAGTTTCGATAATCTTTGAAGCTTTTCACAACCTAGTGCACAAAACATTTTTAATTATTTCATAAACATAAATAAACTTTTAAATTCAAATAATATTTTTATTACATTTTGCTTAAACTATATCTAAGCTAAAAAAAAACTGTGAATCACATATCTCTGACATTGTTTGTACATTTAAAATATCTACCTACAATTTGTATATATTGTTTACGCCTAATTTTCGATGCTATATAATTTTTCTAAATCGTTTTTTAGGGTTGAAGTTAACTAGATTTCGAGATGTTTTGGTAGATTTCTTTTCAGTAAAATTGGCAAGATCCAGCGAATTTGATAAGTATTAAATTTTTGTTAGATATGCTGTACAAAAAACTATATATGTTCCATTATTTCTACAGATGAGGCTTTAAATATGTAATACTATATTTTTTTTGCTAAATTTGTAATTTTAGAACTACCAAAGTTACCATACGTACAAAAATTCTTATCTACTAGATTTGCCTACAAATTTACAATTGTTTGTTTTTGTTTCCACTTTTTATGTATTAAGTTATTAAGGTACAAAAGGAAATAATTACGATGATCGATGAATAAAGTTCAAATAAGTAAAAACCATAATCCCCTTACGACATAGTACATATATAGTTGTTATTGCTTATGCATACCCATATTTAAAAGTAATTATTATTTGGTTTATATACTTAAACTACTAATGTAATTATAATGCATATTTTGTTAATTAACGTTTGTTCAATTTGTGCCAGAGCGTTATTAGAGTAAGTATATGCATAACAACAATCACGACAACCATCAGCGTGACGCAGTCAGCCATATTTACATCCGAGATCATCATGTAGTTAAGAAATACTTTGGGACTTCGGAAATGGCAATACATTGCAGTATCCGGACATGTTAGGAACGGGCGTTCCAAACCATAAATAGCATTAAGTGCGCCGTGGAAACCTGCTCGAAAATAGCTGATATGCCACATCCAGCGAAAGATAGGCGTGATATCGATGTATCGCGTGCAGAATCCAAACACTGAAAACAATACTGCCAGAATTGGGCCCAAGAACACTGCCAACTATAAGAAAATTTCGAATATTATGAGATATTTAATACTAATTAAATTTTATATCAACGTAGAAGAGGTAATACTAAACTAAAAACATTAATCTTACTTTGGTAGGTAGCGTAGCACCGACAAAGAAACCCCAGGCTTGAGCACTTAGTGTAGCCAAAACGGCCAATACCACGAAGTAATATATGCGAAAGCACTCATCTGTGTTGTTGCCAGTTAGGTAAACGCTTATGGCCATGTAAATTACTGCGCAAATACTCTGAAAATATATTTGGAATTAGCATTAGTTAATTCATGTACACATTGTATATATCTAAAAGACAAAAAGACAAGGAAGGTAACGAGTCCAGAGGCTCGTGTGGGATGGGCCTTTTTATAAAATGTTTAGGGTAGAACACACTCCACTAACATTAAGTTAAGTTATAAAATTTAAAACCATTATCAGTATTCGAACATGTATATATATATGTAAGCATTTTATCAATCGATTAATTTGTTATTCAGTTACACCTCTACTCTACCATGGCTCATAACACTTCACAAGTCTTTTCTGTAGCGCGAAAGATAGGTAGTAGCGCATACATTTAAGGGGAGGGGTAGGGTTTCAAGGAATTTTTTTCTTAAATATGGATTGAGTAATCTTATTCGGACCTTTTGTACATTATTGAGCATACTTTCGACAATATAGGGTAATTAAAGTTTGAAATGAATCGGTCAAGTAGTTTTGAAATGACAGTGAACACGAACTTTGAAAAAGTAGTTTTGAGAAAAACGCGTCTAAAGTTTATGAACAAACTAGTTGGAGCGTTAAAGGCCAGGAGATTAATAAGACAATAACTTTAAGAATATTGCTTTAATCGAACTAAAATTTTAAGGACATATTCTTGAAATGTTAAACAATAAGATAAGAGAAAAAAAATAAAATCGATTTTTCGAAAGTAAAATCCCTAACCCCCACCCCACTTAATTCAGATTTTAACTCTAGCGAGATTTGAACATACGATCTACCATGCCCCAGCTTTCATTTACGTAATGTATGGCGGTCAATGTGAGAAAGTTTATTGACACTAAAGGTGAATATTAAAATAAATAAGAGGAATATGTAAAAGGTTAAAATATAAATGTGCCCGCATGCACACACACGTATGTACTGTGAATGGATAAATACAAACAGCGACCGGTTTCGAAGTTTTAGTTGTGATCTAACATTTGAAACTAATTGTGCATATATATGTATAGAAATAAACGGTTTTTACCACCAGTAGTAGATCACTTGGTTAGTAGAAATGATTTATGCATATGTATGTGTCTAAATTGCTCACCTGAAATGGTATTTCAAAAGACAACATCGATAAGAAGTATGGAGTCAGGCCGTACCACCGGTTGAAATGTTCTCGGGTCAACATTCCAATTTCCAAAGGAACTGTTGAGGATAAAAAATATGTAAACGGGTGCAAATATGAATTGTATTATTTAGTGGTTAGCTCTATTTCAAAACAAATACAGATGAGATCATAGAGAAGTAATTGTAAATAACTTTACTAATGGATAAAATAATTTTATATAAAAATCATTCCCCTTCTGGTGGAGATGAAATTTATCATACCTGAATGTTTCCACGAATTATAATTTATTCTCTATTATAATTTATTCCCCTGTTCATTGAAAATTATTTATGCAAAAATAGTCGATTAATTACTTTTCGCTATAAAATATTCCAGTGATTTATTGAATTAACCACGAAATTCGTTTTTTTTTTGAGAAATAGTCCAATATATGTATTACTTACTTACTAGTTTTATAAGAGCAAGTTATTATTAGTAAATCGAATTCAAAGAAACATAGTTTCCAATTATTGGATACAGATTTTAAAATACCTGTGATAATAATTAACGTACTAGTGTACATACATACACAGTTAAATAAATACAAAATAACAAGGCATTACTTACATGTTAGCACCACAGCCATTTTGCCAGTGTAGACCAACAATAAAATTGTACCGTACAAATAGACATAGTTGCCGAGCACAGTGGTCGCTTTATCGCCGACATTCATATACAAGTAACCAAATACCAAGCCAATTACAATGTGTGACATCAGCCGAGCCAACAACAAGAACTGCAAAAATTAAAAGCCCAATTTAGATAATCAGTTAGCGGTATATCTCTCACAAATGCTGCGAAGCAAGAACTCGTTTAGTTCATGAGGTATGTTATAGAGTTGTTTGTAAAAAAAATTAAATAAAAATTAAAACCGTTCATTGAAAATGGTCAAAAACTAAAAGACTGCAAACTTGGCTGTGGTAACCAGTAGCCACTCATGCAAAAGTGTGTTAAGGTTATTACAATTAAGCCGTATGCAACTTGCTTGAACAGTTTGTGTGTAATAAGATTTGCGCATGCTCATATACAAATGTACATACATCCGTACATACTCAAAAGTATGAATATTTTTACGGAGTATAGTTGTTAGACATGAGTGGGTTGATGTATGAACATTTGTAAGTCTGCATTTATACTTACACACGCTTAGAAACACGTGCCATCCAAGAAACTGCTGTTGGGTTCACCACTACACTCACATTTATTATGTCAACAGTGACGGTCAATTGCCGGCTAAATTGACCGTCACTGTTATTATTAAAAATAGACCCTTACGATTTATATTGAATACTATAGCTTTACATATGTAAGAATGAAATAGCTGCATTTCTTAGAACTGTCACCACTGACAGTCAAATGAACAGTAAAATGACTGTCAATGTTTACGGTTTTTCCAAAAGCAAATTTTGTAAGCATCGAAAAGAGACGGCATACATTATCATAGAAGTTTCGAGAAGTTGTGAAATACCTATGTAGCTGTTATTCTCTTATACAACAACTCTTTTTGTATAAAAAAAAAAAATAAATATCGAAGGAGTTTTAAAATATAATATACGTAAGTGATTATAAGCTTCAAATAAAATTATATTAATAGTTAATTTTCATTTTTATTTAGGCACTTTCAAATTCCGAAATATCCATGAACTGCATGAAATTAAGTGAAAATTTCTTTTCATAATTTATTATTTAATTATATTTTTGTTGCACTCCTTTTTTATATTTATGTATATTATTATAACTAATTTTAATTTAAAGTTTTCAATTTATTAAAGAAATAAAAATTATATTATCTACTGCGCGAAAAAATTTTTCACATGTAATAGATTTACAGTCATAACTGACAAATGGCCGCTATGATAGCTTTTCAGTCATAATTAACAATTTTCAACTTTGACAGATTTATGGTCAGCAATGCCTCAGGGCATGAGAGTGAGCAGTATATATATATAGTGAATCAATTTTAAATATCCATGTGTGGAAAACCCACACCCATACGTTTGTTTACATCAGTTTTCGCACAAGGATCTTAAGAAAATTATAGAAACTTTGTTCTGCGCGCTGTTAAAATTTTTTCAGCTGTGACTGTCATATTACCGGTCAGATGACTGTCAATGTTCTTGTAGGGAAGCACACACACACACACAGTACATATGTATATGTATGTACACAAATATGTTGAATTTAATGCGAAGCTTTCTGAAACCGTCGTAAGATATACTCAAAGTAACAAATAAATTATGTTAGCATTAAATTTGATTTACTTAAGGAGGATATTGCTCTTGCTCACTATCAATGATATATATGATTGTTTATATGTAGGTATACAAAAGTAAGTATGTCTGCACTTATTCACGGTTTGATTGCCATCAAATGTTTATAATGGATTGTTCCGTAAATTAAGTTGTTAAATTAATTTCGTGAAAAAACATACAAAAACATGCACGAATTGTTAATTGCGTCTAAAATATTTTTTTGTTTTTATAACTAATTACGAGTACTGATTCGATCTTTATAATTTTCACTGAAAATTTTTTATTCAATACAAATGGAATAAAATTCCAACGTCTTAGTAGATATTTTGAGGTAGTTAAAACATAAAGTCTCATTTATCCCTCTCTTATTGTTCAGATATAACAATCGATTGCGTGAGAATTATACATTAAAGCCGTCCGAAGTCGGTGATTGACATTAAAATGATTCACGTTCATTATTATGTAAAACATATGCAACTGTTTTGTGTAGTGAGTTAAAATCATACAATTTCTCTAAACGCCTCGCTGTTAATGACAATAACATCGAAAAAGTTAAAAAAAATCAGTGCTTGAAAATCGTCGGGATTGCATCAGAGAGATAGCAGATGATTTCAACAGCTCTAATGGATCGACTCAACAAATTTTGGTGTGAATCGTGTCAACACTAGACGCATACCAAAAAAGAGAAATAAGAGGTCCCAAATGAAATGCTTGATTAATCAAACACATCATCTGGTCTTTTATCTACACATACATATAAGTCAAAACTGTCCAACAATCTGCCAAATGGCGATTCAAAAATGAGATGAAACCGAAATACTGTTTCAAAGTCGGTGAAAAATCAAGGTGATACTCATCAGTTTTTTTGATTATCGTGGATAAGTTCCATAGGGTCGCCGCTTTGAGGCGTCTGCGGCAATTCGTCGTAAACGACCCGATTTACGGGCAGAAAATCCATGGAATTTTTACTATGATAATACGCCGTCTCATTCAAGCATGATTGTGACTGACACTTTGACCAAACAGGAAACGAAAGTTTCGATTCAACCCATTTTCGACAAAAAGAGAACCGTTATTAGGAAACGATTCTCACCGAATTCCAATAACATATCTCAGACTTTTACTGGTGTTTTCGGTTAAAAGTTAGCAAAAGAAACGGGGTTCACGTATTCGATATATGGGCGCCTAAATAGTTTGGTCCGATTTTGACAATTTTTAGACGCAAGATGGCATATTTTAAAGGCACTATTTATTGGTAGTTGATTTGTATACTGAGAGTGTAAAATCAGATAGAATTTAAAGATGTGTTATATGGGAAGTAGGGGTGGTTTTTGTCTGATTGCTCCTATATTCACACTGTAACAAACTAATGTCAGGCTAATGTTACGTCCTGAGGTCCTGAGATATGTGATTTCACCTAGAGGTGAGCAATGCCACCCCATTGTCCAATTTTGACAATGGCTTCTATAAAGCCTTTTTATATCATCTCGAGTGCAAAATTTAGTGTCAGAGAGCTTTTCTATATTGAATTTTAGCATTTTTAGTAGTTTTCAACATAACCGTTATATGAAGAGTGGGCGAGGTTATAAGCCGATATAACCCATTTGAACAGTAGAAATTCTTAAAAGATAATATATATGTATATATAATTTTTAATCAAGTTACTACTTGCACAGACCGACGGACGAACGGATAGACAGATATCCGAATTTCAACTGGTCTCGTCGTTCTGATCATTTATATATATATATAACCCTATATCTAACTCGATTTGTTTTAAGTGATAACAACCGTTATGTGAACAAAACTATTACATTCTGTAGCAATATGTTGCAAATCATTGCTTTTGAAAATCTGACATATTTAATTGCATATATTTTACATACAGTTTATTTTTTCAAATATTTAAAAAAAAATTTGCAAAAAATACGAATAATTATTATAACTAAATAAAACGTTAAACTTACATAATTCCGTCGAGCACATATGAAGATCCGATTCAGAAGCAGAAAATATTGCATGATAAATGAAGCCTGCTCGGTGTGTAAAACTTTATAGGCCGTGTAACGCCGGCCATTAATTTTCCTACGCCCCGCTGAGCAAACATCACCATCTTTATCATCCAACTTCTCTCTTGTGCCGACGCTGGCTTTGAGCGATTTTATTTCTTCCAAAGCCACGTCGTCCGCGGCAGGTTTTACGTAGTCAAAGGCCGTAAATTTCGACATGACGTTGGGGAAACGTTTTAAATTGCCAGCGATTTTGCTGCACGCATCATTACCTAAAAACATTGAAGTTAAAGCGTAAAATTAGTTATAATGGTTTTGTGCATATATATATTTGTATTTGCATCGGTGTGTAATTATTCAGTTTTAAAATTTAAAGAGTATTCGGTTTTCGTCGACTTTGACCAAATATATCTTACTTTTAATATGAGATAGCAAGCGTTGCACATTTATTTGTTGGTTATCTGCATCTTCGTGATACTTTTTATTTGCTGCATTTATAAGTTTCACTAAATCGCGATCGTGCTCCCCCACTGCAACCTCCAGCACTATGAATAAAAATCAAATACATTGAAATCGGTCAATTATAGGGTAGTTGTATATACTATTTGCCACTATATGCCCTGCAGTGAAATATCTCACTAGTTTACAACTAGTAATTTCTGATTGAAAGCGAAAAGAACAGTTTGCAAATAAAATAAAGTAAGCTAGTCCGAAACGAAATTGAATTGTTCCAAATACTATGCAAGTTGGGTTTGCAGGTCATACTTGAAACAAAAGTAAATATATACATAGGCAACCACTTTAAATAACTTACGAAAATCTGCTGGATTGTGATAACTCGGACACACCAGATCCTGTCCTTCTAGGAATGGTATAAGCTCCCTTACTGGCCCTTGGTAGATACAATTTCCATCAACAACAGTGTATAGTTTGTCGAACATCTCGAATATTAATGCGCTGGGCTGATGAATGGTACACACTATGGTATGACCCAGTGAAGCCAACTTTTTTAATAGTGTTACACATTGACTGCACGACGAACTATCCAGACCGCTGAAAAGATGAAAAGATTTACGAATGGATGCCACATTTTCATATCATTTCAGATACAGAGATTTAAATTCCCTTTTTTTTGTTTTGAATCTTGAAGTCTAGTCTCTTGTACACAAAAGAGAGTACTAGTAGAGGGTCTTATAAAATGCGTTTGCTGTATACTACTCTTTGACATAATGCAAATTTTCTTTGCAATGAAAACCGACAAGTGTATTCAAATAATTAAAAATAATAATCCTAAGCAACTAATTTTTTAAAAGATCTCTTGTGTAGTGTTAGAAATTCCATAGCAATTTTAACGATTCTATTAGTACATACGGGTATATATATATTTATGCATGTCATACATATGTATTTACAAATAAATCGTCTGACTTTTGCAATGGACTAGGTGAGCCCTTTGAAAGCCAATGCGAAAAGTGCAATCAATGACATTAAGTTTATGTTTAAAATTCATCGAATGTTAATAGAAATGCAATCGAACAAAGCGGTCATTTTAATGTGTTTCATCGAGGTGATTGTCTACTTTGCAGCTTTGGAAACACATATGGTGTTGTCGATGCTTCTTAAAAGCAAACATTACCATTATTTACAAAAGTTTGTACTTAATATATTCTATAATATTCATATACATAACGGATATTTTGTAATTCCACTTACATTTTCGAACTTTGATACCAGCCTACGCGACATCCGTGTACTAGCATTACAACGTGTAGCTACATTTTTATATTAATATTAAATATTCAATTGATGACCGAGCCTACTGAATCATTAAATATCTAATAATATACGAATTATATCGAACACACCATAAGAGTATGACGCATCACATCACATCGATTCTACACCCACAAAATAGAATTTATTCTTGATAAAGTATTTCTCTCGGCGGGACGTGATAAAGTTTTTAAACATTGTACGTGGTCGGTCCGATTAGTACTTAGCCTACAAACAAAAATTAAAATTTTTCAAGGGGGTAATTTATTTTTAACTTAGACTCCTTTTGGCTCGAGTACCAGACCACCTGATATTTTGATGGCATATACCTACTGTCATAGCTACCTCGTACACCCGCAATCGGTGGTCTGCCAATGTGATTTGGGGACTTTTGTCCGTGCCGTATACGGGTCGCTTTAGCGTAGCTCAACAAAAGCAGATGAGCGATCAAGTTCAAACGGTTTAAACTTTAAAATTTTTTAAATTTTTAACTGTAGCCATCGGAGGAGAAAGTATACATCATATACATTATCCAAGCGATCCTTGATTTCACTGTGAGATTTTCTTTTCTTTTTTCATTTGTTTTTAAATCCGTAGACATGTCTGCTTCCACACGAGGTCAAAACAAAACTACAAGTCGATTCAGTTGCGACATAGGTGCATCGAACGGTGCGGCTGAGTATTAATCGAATCGCCCTCGTATAGTATATAGTATGGTATATGCATACACCAACAGACATTGACTAATTAAAAGACTACTTATATACACATTTACATACAATTTGCAAGATTCGAAGGAAGTTTTTGGTAGTGAACGTTTAATAGATAAAGGATCAATGTTCATTACCATAACGATTGAGATTAAAATAATGAGAAAATGCTACCAAGATACCACATCTTTTACAGTAATTCAAGTATACTATTCCTGCGCTTATTCTACATTACATATACACTGATTATTTTACAGCTCACAATATCCCGCAATAAAGGGTTATCTCATCGATTACTTATTTACCCTATTAAATGTGTAATATTTACATAAGGATTGCGGATTTGTGCATGATTTTATACCTTCTGTACATACGAAAGATGTATGTGTGCATAAGTTTATTTACAAGTATCAGAGTGCACTTATGATTAGGAATATATTTATTTATACACTAAGGCAAAATGACTGATTATGGATGACATTGGCGTGTAGCTTCCGTTAATTTTGCAAACGTTGTGACTAAACGTATACAAGATTATAAAATAAACCTTCACTCGAATCTATAATTTCATAATAATTTGCTTGAGCGAAAACAACTATCACGAAATTAGTGCACAACTAAAATACACCCAGCACACAATTTAATCAATAATCCGGGCTACTTATCATGGGGGTTTATGGAATAATATAAAGACATAGGTAAGTATATATGTATATTCATACATATTTGCGAACCATAGCCATTTAAATATCGTAATTATTTCAATACGTCGCAATGTTGCTTTTGCACTAGGGTTACTGATTGTTCAATATGTCGTGGTGTACAAGTATATATATACATTTTGCTTGTACGATTATTATGTTATAAAGTGAGAATACAAAAAAAATACTCACGTTGTTGGCTCGTCCAAAAACAAAACGGGGGGATTGCTTATCAATTCAAGTGCTATGGCCAAGCGTTTTTTCTGGCCGCCAGACAACTTCCCTGCAAACACATTGTACCGATGCTCCAGGCCCAGCAGAGCCAATATATGTTTGATCTGTAACATATACATAATAACAGCAATAATAACACTTGCTCAGTTCCTTTAACTATCGATAATATTACACAGATGTGTATACAGATGTAAAAATTTATGTAAGTGCTGTGGGACATTCAAAATGTATAAACTATTACAAACATATGTATACGAATCTGAAGGAACAATTAATAAAAAAAAATTAAACAGACGAGTCGAACGAAGCTGCGATATGTTTGAAATAACACCGGGAAGATCTAATTCACAAATCAGTCAATATAACTTACCAAGTTCTGTTTGTATTCCTTAGACGTACTAAACCCCAGCTTGAGATGTGCGGCTAACATCATAGTTTCACCAATAGTCATCAGTGGCCTTAACAAGTCATCTTGATGTATATAACAAGAAAGTTCTCGAAAACTGGATGAGTTTGTTGAAATGGGGTCCCCGTTGACACATATTGTGCCCGTTACACCAGTGGCTCTGTGAACAACAAAAATTTTCTAAATTTTAATGGCAATTTAATTAACATGTGGGACTGTTTGCATGTATAATATATGTATATGTATGTTATTTATTTCATACAACAATATTGTAGCATTATTGTTACAAGGTTCTTATGTGCTACACTTATCTTTTTATCTGCATTCTTGAAAGTAATAACAAACACAGTCAACGCCATCTATAGTTCAATCAACTCAATGGAAAACCTGGACACAAGTTATTTTTTGAATGTATATATTTTTGCATTGTATATACACACATATATAATATATGTATATGTGCTCGTAGCTTAATCTGCAAAACCCTATGTAACTTCTTATCTGCTGGTGCTAATAAATTTTAAATTCAAGGTTTAATTCCTTTTACTTCCGATTGAGGTTCAGTGGCAGTTGAATAATGTCCACATTGTTAAGTTAGGTTAGGTTTAAATACTGCCTAGAAAGACACCATTAAGTTACATCGATTCGATTCGGAGTTTACAAAATGTTCGCTGATTTGTCCAATAAACATAGACGTATTTGGGTACTGGTGTGCTATTTATTTTCCGTACAAATATTATCGTACAATTTTCGCTAATCGATACAATTTTCTTTGTTTCACTTTATTGTACAATACAACAAGTGAGTCTTTTATATATGTATTTTTCAATTAAGTAATGCCTAGAGAATTGTTCAACATTTCTTGTCTTAAAAAGCACTAGCTAATCAATAAAAGCTGTTGTTAAAATCCGCCCACATCTACACAGGGTGAATATATTACTTATAAAATAAATCACTCGGTAATGTTTTAGAGTTAAAGGAAAAACAATGGCTTGCTAAGAAAGGTATTATCAATACAGTTCATTATTCAAATTAAAACTCGCCCCTCTTGTAAAAATAAGGTGAATGTTTTTGATACTTTCTTATTTTCTTTTTAACTTTTTATGCCATGTTTTCAGGTGAATATTATAATAAAGTGTTTCAGTCTTTCTGAATCTGCAATAAAAGCTTTTTGTTTCTTTTGGTTAAATTTGCATTGCATATGTTGGTTTTGTCAAAAAGAAAAATGCACGAGATCGTTCCATTAGAGATTACCATATACCTTCGTTGAATAATTTATTCATATTAAGAATATTCAATATACCCGTACATATATTGAAAGAATTCACACCCTTTATATTCGTTTAGCAAACGAGGGTATCTCTATTACTTAACCTTTCTTACTTGATTCGTTGTTATATTAAATACACAAACATTGACAGGTGTATGATAGTTTCATTATATTCAATTGAATATAACTAATATTTGCATTCACGGTTCATAGAGATCAGAAGATGTCAATTGAAGTTTATTGGTGCAAATGAACTATCAATATAATTAACAAATAATTAGTATGTTTGTGAAACACCTACCTAAAGCCTGTCATTACATTGAGTAATGTACTCTTTCCAGAGCCTGACGGGCCCATTATGGCGGTAAGTTCCCCAGCTCGGAATGCGCCGTTAATGCCATGTAAAATCTCCTTTGTTACTAAAACGAGTTAAAAGCAATAGATCAAATTTAACTTATTGCATAGCTTAAGGATTCAAGGGTTAGTATAAATGTTGAAAGCCACAATACGAATTTTAAATTTGAATGAATCAATAACATCGTAAAACAGCCTAATTATTATTTTTTTCACGTCGGGCCAAAATTAATGACATAAGTACATAATTAAAGTTTTTTTTTATAGAAAACTCACCGAATTTTCGTTCATGAAAATTAAACTTCCGCACTGTGTATTTGACATTTTCGAATTCGATATCAATCTGTTTGCAAAGGTTAAAATTTGATTCCCAGTTGTCATAATTACTCGGTTTATACAAAACATTACTCGTGGAACTGGGACTCATACAAACAGATGATTTGTCAATTGACGTTTCCGAGTTAGCAGTGTTGGAACAGCAATTAATGCCCGCAACACATGTATCTGTAGGCTTCACATCCTGTATCACAGTCATTTTCGGTTCGTTATCATTAACATTCGCGGAAGGTATAGCTGTAAAAAGAAAACATAATAAAGTTAAAGCTTAAATGTAAAATAAAAATTACAAAAATTATATACATATTTCTAAATTATATTTAAATAAGACCCACGGTTTCACTCTCTTTCAAAAGACTCTACATACTAATTGCCTAGTGTCTTTAAATATTGCCCAATAGGTAAGATTCTGCTGAAAAAATTATGCACACAGTTATTCCACCCCACACAACCCCGATTAACGATAATTGGTTGGTATGGTGCCCCTCCTTAAATGTTGCATGTCTCTTACATATGTACATGTATACATTTTTAGTTAATGTGTATGTAATTTGATTGCAAGCGTCCATAATTTGCTGAACTTTGAGTTACTTGTACATAAATACATATGTATGTATGGATGTCAAAAATATTATAACTTTCCCAACAAAATGGAGCGCAGAAAAGAAATAATTTTTTAAATCGTAATAGTCAGCAATATTGTGCAATAAATGTACATATATGTATGTATACTTATGGTACTTACATATGTAAAAATATATTCATATATGATGCGAAGGCACACACACAATTTACAAGCATGTAATATTTTTCTATTTCTTAAAGCAATTTTCTTTTCACACGACGACAGAAACTTTCAACATGTTGTCGAAAGTGTCAAATGTCAGGTTATACTTAGGTACATACATATATACAAATATTAATATGTACGCATACCGCTACTGTAGATGATTAAGATGATGTGTTAATTGCAAACTAAAGAATAAGAGATTATTCAAATAGAATATTCATGAAAGAAATTTAATTAAGTTTATATCAAATTAAATGATAATAGTAATTAACTAATACTATATGCATTTGTCTATGTAGTAACGTCACATAAGATCATATCCATAGTGACATTTGTCTGTTTAATGATTTAAAGAAATGTTTACAGGATAATTAGTATTTGTGATTAAAAAACTTATTGTTGATTTAAAAACCTTTAATAAAATGCAATTTGAGTAAATAATTTTAGGATTATTTTCTGTTATGTATATATGCACACATGTAGTTATTTAACTTTCAAGTTTTTTCGATTGACTACACCTTATCAGAGGAATAAATGTACAGGCGTACACGAGTCTACATACATACATACAAATTTGTTATTAATTTTTGGTTGTGCTTATGTCGACAATCAATGGCAATATTAAGAAATTCAAACAAATAAAATGAAATAGGTCAGTGTCTGTTGATAATTTAAAAAACTTAAGAATAAATAAGAGGCACATATAGTTTATAACCAAAACTTAATGTGAGAAAACAAACAATAATTTGTGTTTCATTATATTGGTTTGTACATTTAACTAATAAATTAGCAATAACAATAAGTGAGTTTCTCCGCTGAGACCCATAGGTATATATAATTACACCAACCATAGATATTCATCGAATTCACCCTTTCCTCCTATTTGTATCCGTTTTATTTTTCAACAAACGGAATGTCCTATGCCTTTTAAGTTTCCTCAAAACAGATTATAGAACTTTAATGAGTGCTGCACCGTATGAAGGCAGCTAATAAAGTGATTAAATCTAAATTAGAGAAAAACATTTTATATTTAAGCTATTATTAAAGTCCAAAATATATCATCATAGTGTTTACAGTGTCGTTGGTTTAAATTAAACAATATTGTTATAATAAGTTTTTCCAGTCGGTTAAATCTAGGCACCAAAAAGCGCTGAAACGGCAAGCTTCTAACTACTTCGTTGGCAATTTGTATCACTTTACCATAATTGCAAGCCCATATATAAATTTATGTTCATATGATACAAATGTACACAGATTATATTTTTACAGTTAATAATAATACGAAGGTTTTTAAAATATAATTGTGACCCTTGTCATAAATCTGGGATATATGTTTGGACGAATTTTCCCTTTCTTTAATGGTTTTAAAAAAAACTTTTTAATGGCAGATAACCGCTGAAAAGTTTTGGTTTTCCGCTAAAAAAAATTTTTGTTTTTGTTGACCTGCAACTATGTTTGCACCCAGTACCTGTTGAGCGCACACCTCTTAGTACTAACTCACAGCCATCATGAATATACAAACATGTGTTTATGTATGTATGTATGTATCTATGATATATAGTCAAACATAATGTCACATAAGATAACGAACCTTTTATTATGTTCTGCTTTGCTCCTGTTTTGTTTTCTCTTGAGTTAAGGTTATTAGGTCTCTTTCACTGGCTTATTTATAGATATTGCATTCGTAGTTGATGCAATTTGTTCATTTGTTCAAACTATGTATGGATGTATAAATTTTATTGGGATATTTCTTGATTGGTATATTATAATTGTAATTGATTTGACTTGGAATACAGTTTGGATACTTTTACATTCACTTTCTTTATTGTATTCACTTGTATACTCATTGCTTATCCATTTTGATTTTTACTTAATTCGAATTTCACCAACATGACAATGATTCCCACAATTATTGATTCACATTAATTCCCTTGAACTCATTTATTTGGTTATACATTCGTAAATGATTGTGACTTTATTTCATTTCTTCCGTTCAATTCTGTACACTTCAATATATATTATTTAAATACAATTCAACAGTTGCTTGACACAACCACCGTATTAAATATGTTAACACTCCGTTTGCTTTTACTAGACTGCAGAACAGCCCAACCAGCTCTCTTATAGACATTCGAAGTAATCGTAGCTTGTTTTTCCAACGTTCGTTTGCTCGTGAAGCACTACCAACACTTCCTCCGGTCAATAACATTTCGTGCTCTCACATTTCATTTTCACTGTTTTCTGGGGCTTGCTTCGTACTCAGTAGGTTTTTCTGTGCTCACAGCGTTTACTCTGACTCATTCAATTTTGGTACAAAACGTTGCCCATATCAATATTGAGCACTAAAACATTAGAATTCTCAAGAACTTTAATTTTTAGCCACAAGAGCATAGTGCAACAATCAATTAGTATCTACGAATGTAGCTCAAAATATTAACATGTATGTATGTATGTAATATAATTTAGGTACATACATACAATATGTACTAGTATGTATGTATTATTCAAAACAGCCAAATATTTAACGCCGGTTAGTTTTTGTAGTTACATACATATATTTAAGGAACATTCAGTACAGCCAAAAGGCGTCTTCTAACTTACTCGAGTTCGTATACATACATACTTACATATGTGCACATGGGGGTATACCTATAAGAGTATGCTTTCTCAAATCGAAGTAAAGATATATATGTTCATATAATCCCCACCAAGTGTAAATATGTAAGTAAAGAACATTGAGGCAAGAGTATATAATTTTGTTTTTCAATTATAATCCTAACTGCACGAAAGGATACGCTATAAGTCAATTGTAAGTTGTTTATTTCTTTGTGTTGAAACAATGAACGTAGCAATCGAGCAATCGTGGAGTGATGTAAAATAATATGATTTGTAATTTCGAAAGGACTTTAGTTTTGAATTCACATATAGACTCATACCTGTGCACATTCTGTAGCGAAAAGTCAAGCTAGTCAAGAAATACTTGCTTAGAACTTGAATATTCTGAACATATCGAATTAGTGGCAAAACATCACATACATACATATATAAATTCTGAAACGTAAAGTGTATTAGCAACCTTCGTTTTCTTAATTTCTTACTTGTAGACTAAAACTGTTGGGTTTCCTATAATTCATCCAAATGCCTTTGGCTATTTCGAACAAGCTCGAGGTTATCCTATTCCATACCGAAAACTGCAATTGAAAACTTGTCGGACATTTAAAAAATACCAGTTGTTTGCATGGCCGCCCAGTGGGGTTTTTGGGTCCCACTGATTGTAAGGTAATCGAAAACTGGTTAATATCACAATAAGGTACATATACACATACATATGTATATAGTTTAGTCTGTGAAGAATTTTTTTTTTGTCCGAACTCTAGCAGAAGGCGGAAGTTGCAGTTTGTATAATTGGAGATAATAGATGTGTGGTTTCTCTACTAGCTAAATTTAACATCATTTACCATATATCACAAGAGAAAATGTATACATTTCCTAATTGTAGAAAATTGTAAAGCCAATCAGATGATTGTAGATTAGAAATCCGAAACCGTTTCAGTTCCACTGGAACAGACTTTGATCTCACTGAATATTAAAGTATTAAGAACATTTGTTGAACCTCTTCAATTTAGTCAAACCACCACATTTATGAGTTAGATATGTACATATACATTATACAAGTATACTGCTATATGTACATACATATATTCGATATATTATATGTACGAAAAAATTATTTTCAAATATTTACTAATTATATATATCACGTAAATTTTATCGGTTATAGCTCAAATAACGTAACAAAAAGAAGTAGTTAAAACTCTCCAACCAGTTCTCTATTTTGGGTTACTAAAATATTTTAGGATTTCTTCGTTCAGTGCAGAAATGTAAATGTGTTTTACTTAAACGTTCTGACTAAATACAGTGGTAGTTACGAATACTTTTAATTATAGTAACTTCGATACAAATTGAAAAAGCTTTGTATTAAAAAATGAGCCAAACTTCGAAAGAATATTTTCATTCCCTAACTTTTCAAAACTTTTCAAAGAATTATTAGAAAATAACAGTAATCTTTTGGCTTGGTCCACACAATTGAATAAGAGCACCCATATACATAAGTACACACTATATACAGAATATAAGCCGCTCTTAAAGCGGCAACAAAAAAAGATGCAATAATATCCCAGACAAATTAAATAATTTAATTTTCTACCGGTTGTACGTGCGATCACCATTGGGTCTACCTGACTACAGTCGCGTACTTGTCGACTGCGTCGTTCTTTCATTGATACAACCAATACGGTACTGTTGTGCAGATGGTATATCATATTTATAGTAGTACTTCTAAAGCAAGAAAAAATCCTACCAAATATATGCACCTACTAAATATCAGTTTTACCGTTTTTATCTAAACAGATCAAGAATATAACTACATTATTTGGAAATTATGCCTAGATTCTTACTTTAGCACTTACCAAATACCGAATATGAGGATTTTTATTATTATATATTTTACTAAATTTTTGTGATAGATGGTATTCAAATGGAAGTAGGTGGACCGTTAATCTTAGAGTAATGTAATTTTGTACAAAAAGTAATAAACTACCTACAACTTCATTAAAATAACGAACTAGCTACAAGTTGCGAAATTATCTCCAATTCTATTGTACAGAGTATCTGATCAAATTGACACATACATACATACCATACATACGTAGCCCAGTAACCCTATGCTGTCACACATATGTAAGAGTTTCATAGAATTTAACAGAAATCTATGGTAGTGCTCTCTGCTAATTAACTTATGTTTTACCTATAGTTTAAAATTGTATTATTCTTAACGTTAAATTTAACATTTCCGCACTTTTATTAGAATTTTCTGAACAGAATTTTTATTATTGCCAAATTTTCGGACATGCTGCTTTATTTGACGTACATCTCCATACTTATACTGCATACTACTTAATAGCTTGCTTATTCGAACCGTACGTTAAGTATACTTATAAAAACTAATAAAAACAATTCCCACGACAGTTATCGGAATTGACCCGGATTTTATCCGGCCAAGGGCTGTTCTTTCTAACCCTGTTTGGATCGGTGAGTTTTAGTTTTTAATAATTATAAAAACTAATAAATGAACAAATATTGAAGATGAACGAAAAGATGACGAAAAAGAGGATACATTCATCTTTGTCTATCTCAATCCTTCCATCGCTCCCTTATCTATGACAATTGAGAAAATAATAATCAAATCACTGATACAACCTCCACACCGGTTCCGCAAGAAGCACATCACCTCTACCACCACTTCGCCCTAATTGTTGTTGACTTTACCCAAACGATTTGTGAAATCACTGAGACCCAGAGCCAACCCTCTGTCACAAGTACGCATCCAAGTTAAGACGATTGGAAATTACCTTTCCTTTGATTTTTGTGATTATTAATATTAAAATAAACTTGTATTTACATTTAAAAAATATATAATTTCCAGCGATACGACTAATTTTTTCTTATTATTAAAATTAGTTTAATAAGTAACGTTAATGGATTAGCTTTCTAAATTTAACAACATTGCTTCATCATCTTGTGACTTTTAAAAAGCACAAAATTATAATTTCCCTTCACGTATTTTGTTCATTGTGCTTTTACCCATTAGTTTGGAAATTATTTTTGCTAGTCCTGGATAACGAGTAGCATGTGCCAAAAAATTTACTGGAAACAATCCACACCACGACAGATCTAATTTATTTGCAATCGTTGTAGCAAACAATGTGCCACATCTTTCCACTGTCATTCGTTTTTGACCTTTTGTGCTTTTTCCATACGTCTGTTCTGGGTTCGCGGTAAATGCATCCTGGAGGAAATCTGTAGCGATGGGACCAGGGCAAAATATGCTGACATCAATACTACTTTGTTCAAGTCGAAGAGCGTTCAGGTATGCATTAATAGCAGATTTTGCTGCGCAATATGTAGCTGAAAAAGGCACTGGACACAATCCAGCGATGCTCGATGTTGTGACAATATGACCTCGAACATTGCGTAGCTGTAGAAAGTAACGCACTGCAATTCGAGAAAGATTAACTACGGAAAATACATCTAATTCGAAGAGGTCTCTATCAACTTGAACTTTTATTTCTTCCCAGCTTGCTCGTTGTGAACGTCCAGCATTATTGACTAACACATCTAAACGGCCAAAGTATTTTATCACTCTCTCAAAGTAGTCTTCATGTTTCGAAATGTTCAAAACATCCATCGGCATTACAAGTATGTCATCTTCAGATAATAAACCATTCGCATGTTCCAGACAATCTTTCTTTAGTAATTCCAACAAGTTTTCTCGTCTGGCAGAAATCACCAACCGCACACCATATTTAGCCAATATAAGGGCCAGTGCTTTGCCAATACCAGATGAAGCTCCCGTTACCCATACAACTTGACCACGCATTGACGAAATAGGTAAACCAAAATATGTATTGTACCAAAGTTCGACATTGCAATCCAAAATTAACCAAAGAAGGAGATAAATAAAGAAGTAACCAATTAGAAGTATGAAGAGTAACTCCAAAAATGTCATCTTAGTAAAAAATGTCCGATTAAACTAGTGCTGTATACCTTTATTTGACTTTGTCGGAGAATCTTGAATATATGTATGTATGTATATTATATATGTGTTTATTCTACATAAAGAATGATAGTATTGCGAACGAGTGGGAATTGTCAAAAGCCCGCAAAAGAAGATAAGCGATTCAATACAAGCAACTAGAAACGAGGAAAATTATACAGCATTCGTACAGGGGAACTTATGGTTGATTCACATAAAACTTTTGCTTCGCTTTATATCAACCATTGTATAAACTTACTTACTTGTACAATGTGACATTTTTGTGCGAAAGCTTTCACGGCAGCAGACTTGCAGTTGTCGCTGTCGCTAAATTAAAACCATTTATCATTAATGTTTTTCATTTACAATCATTGACATGCCACTTGCCCAGACCATGGTACAGCCATACAAGTACCTAAAAATTCATATGATTCCCAAGAATTTTACACAGCTGAAATCACTTGATTAAAATCAACGTTTTTCGTGCACAGTGATATGAATAAAAGGAGTGTAATATAATAACTTCTTTTCTGAAAAGGTATTTTTTAAAGGATTATATTATTGAAAACTTTCAAGAATATATCGAATAACATAGAAATAAATATAATAAAATGGCGTACAATTCAGGCACAACAATGATTATAATCACACCAATCCACTAAGTTATAAATAATATATATATATTATTCTAAACCACGATTCTACGTTTACCATTTTTTAATTTATTATGGGAAACTCCGATCGTATAGAAAGTAAATGTCGATTGTATCTGATATCTTCGTTTTTTGGTAGAAAATATATATGAAAATTCTGGGGGTACAACGTACTAGATTGAGTTCAAACACCTCAACTTATGTTGCTTCAACTGGAAATCAAATGAAATGAAAGGAAAACAACAAAGTGCTCGTGATCAGACAAAAAGACTTGGGTTCAAATTTTAACGGATTTCCCGATAAATCGCCTACCTTCTAACTCTTACCTACCTTGTTGGATCACTGGTTTGTTAAATAAAAGTCTTAATTTTATAGCTATACACTTATACCACTTAACGCGTTACTAGTCATCCGAATTCACGACTTCTTAATTATATCTTAATTGCTCATATCACTCTAACTAGAACTGTGTCTGCTGCACAATCCGGCAGCCCTTATATAGTAGATCTTTAACAAAACTTCGTCACTAGAACCTTCTGGCAACTACAAATTCGCTGTCTAGTTGATTCTAACAATGTATCGTCGATTCAATTATGTTCTATTATCCTGGTTCGTCACAATACTTTCGTTTTTAAATTGTTTAATAATTCTCGTGGATTCGTATGCACACAAGCCCATACACGAATAAATCTAGCTTGGGCACATACCGATCGAACGCATTTGTATGGCTCCTTTTATGGGGAATTCACACACAATAACATGCACTATCTAAAGAGAAAATGCTCATAAGAATCAAAAGTTTCCCTGTATGATCGTAGTCTAATGAATTCCCATAATGCGAGGTCCATGTGATGTCAGCTGTGAGTAAACCAGACATTCAGTTGACATTTAGAAATAAGTAGATAGATTGGAAAAGTCCATCAAACGGTTTTTTTTTTATCATTTTGCTTCATAATTTATTTGTCGTCGTAATTATTTTGCAATAATGAAAATTGCACGTTTTAAAAAAGCTCATAAAACGTTAAACTTTTTTGCCACGAATTTTGAATATCGAGAACCATACCAGATTTTGGTAGATGCCACTTTCTGTCAGATAGCTCTACAAGTAAGTTCACCATTTAATGGTAAACCATTTACATCAACTATGTATTGCCATTTTCAGAATAAAGTTATAATCGAGGAGCAAATAAAAAAATATTTTCAGTCAACTATAAAATTAGTAACTACCCAATGTGTAATACTAGAAGCAGAATCTCTGGGAAGTCCGCTTGCTGGAGCTACTATGATTGTCAAGAAATTTCATGTGCACAAATGCGGTCACGAAGGTGCACCTGTACCAGCTTCACAATGCATTAAGTCCATGGTAAGGTTTTTAATAAAATAAATTTGAAATAAATGCAGACGATTTAACAAATATTAACCTGCAGACAAAATGTGGACGTTACGTCGTTGCCTCACAGGATCGTAGTTTACAAAACAGCCTTAGAAAAGTGCCCGGTAGAATATTGTTGTATTTGCACAAAGCTACACCTGTTTTAGAAGAGCCTTCCGAAGCATCAAAAAAATATGTTTCCAAAAAATCGCATAAAAGTCTAACCAGTGGCTTAGAGAAGCATGTTGAACATTTAAAACAAATACAGACTTTACAAAATGAAAAACTGTATAATAAAATTAAACAGCGAAAAGGACCGAAAAATCCAAATCCACTTTCATGTAAAAAGAGTGCAAAGCAAAAAGCTAGAAAACCAAACTCAGACATTTCAAAAGAATCTAAATTGAGGGAAACTAGTAAACAACACATGCAAAAACAAAAACGTAAGCGTATAAAAACATCATAGATATATAAACAATAAGATACACTCACTACTCATAAATGTATAATAAATCAACCTACGTATGCAGACAAAATATAAAAAGTTTTCTAATTATTTCACTGTAATTTAAGGAATAAGAAATAACTAATCATTTTGAAATTTAGGAAAATAATATATTTCCAATGTTCTCACAAATCTTCGGCATTTCCTCGTAAGAGGCGTTTTCTGCTGCTAATATTGCATTTCCAAGAGCTATTGTCTCTCGTTGACTTTTCGCTTTAACCCAGATTCGTCCATTTAGTCCGACAGCTATTTCAAATGGCATTTCTTTAGTAAGCTCTCGTAATAATGGACAATTTTCACGTAGAATCAAGCGCGCTAAATTTAAACTACAATTCATGACAAAACCATCTGTTAGCACACCTAGTTTGCCTTTCTTTCCACTCGAATTAACACATACTAATTCTGGTTCTAAATCGCGGCTGGCGACAATCAGTCTTCCATAAAGAATATCTCCAGGATTTACGTCAGGACGATTTTTCTTTGTAGCCGACTCAAAAGCCAAATATGACAAAGAAGCTTGATCATGTGCTCCAATATCTACTCGATATATATCTCCCGCTTTAGCTGTCACTACGCCTATCACTGCTTCGCCTTTTACAGGCACATAGCGTTGCTGATGATTATCTACCCAGTAGGTGTTTGGCTCCTTGTGATGAAGTCTCCCCGGTTTACAAGCAATAACTTGTTCATTCTCTCGTCGCAACCCTGGTCCTAAAATTACTTTTTTACTCCTAGCTAATTCTTCAGCAGCTGAAATCCGATCACCCGGCAAAACAATCTCTGTCATTTTGGTTATGCCTGTTTGTATGGAAATTTAGTAAAATTGAACACGTGAGACAATAGAGTTGCCATTATCAATATTAGCTATTACAATATACCTAATTTAGTTGGCCAAAATCACCTATATATAATTTAAATATAAATAAATAAATAAAATGTTAATTCAATAAAATTTTGCAAATTATTTTATTGAGATATATTGCAAATGGCCTGCTGCTGCTTTTAGAAAATGATTATTATTGGAAATCCCAATAGCTCACAAATAATTATACAATGTGAACGACACTGATACCATTGTAGTAGAGAAACTATAAGCAGAACGATGTAAACAAAGCTGAGAAGTGTCCATGGAGAAACGTCTAGTCCGCCTAGGGTTGAGTTTCTATTGACAGCCAAGATGACCGGAAAATGGTTGCATATTGCTAATTTTTTTAATTTATTAAAAAGTTGTCCAAAATATATTGATTATATGTAAAACTTTTGTATTTTTTCAAAATAAAATTAGTTTATTTTAATATATATTATTAAAGGAGCGACCATTATTGGCAAATTCCAAAATAATTAAGATATTTTATATTTTACCTGAATATAATTTAAATGTTATAAGTATAAACCTTTATTCTCAATTGAAAAAAATTATTTATAACTTCATACCAAGTGCGTTTTCCATTCACCATTATTTTGGAATACGTGCTACCAAATTTATAATATAAAACCGAGAGAAACAATGGATCTCATATTTATCAGGATCGTAGACAGTAACTTCAACTGAGGGGCGATAATTTCTTTTCAGAATCTACTACATAATATATTCACGACATTGGTTTTAAGTAAATAGGGAAAGTATTGGTATATCATCTAATATCTGCAAGATCAATATTAATAATACACCTGCAATACCTTTTTCATTTAGTATTTAATATGTAAAATTAAAATTTGCACAATGCTATATATTAAGCGGTTGCAACAGCGGACACTCCGCACTTATACTTGCATTATTACTGACTGAGGTGCTTACATTGTTTCCATTATCTTTACCACCTGTTTGTGAGAGATGTTTAACGATATCTACCCAATCCCATCCTCGCGGCTTGTCGCCCTTATGATCTGTGCGTTCCCATTGACGACGTTTTTGAGCTTTCGTTAATTGCTCTTTTTTTGCTTCCTTCTTTTTGTTACTTTCTATATTATCTGATATTTTTAATGCATTTACTCCCATATTATCTAAATCAATTGACTGCGTTATTGCATGTTCGGGCTGATCGCTAGTAAGTTCATCTTGTTGATCCTTGAGGCATTCAAATAATGTGTACGTCATTCCACATCCTAACCACTGTTCTGCCTCTTCAGTTATTACTTTTTTTATTTTAGTTTTGACGTCATGCACTCTACAAGATATTTTCTTATTATTAACTAAATTTTTTTCGGCAATTTACCTACAAATTGCGGTTGAAGAACGTATCCATATTTATTTTGGGAATTTCATTGGGATAGTTTTGAGTCCACTGAATTTCTACCAAAAACGATTTGTAAAGATCATCTTCGCCGTACTAAAATCGGTATCACAATATTATTATAAATAAAATAATATTAATTAATTTGAGATCAAAATAAACCTTGTATTGAAAAGTGTTCGCGTCAATTTGCTTAAAGTTTGTATCACCGTCATAAATGGATAGTAACGCTTCTCGTTCATCTGCCTGTTGTTCCTCAATTTCCGCCATATTAACATTAACCCAAATTTTTTTTGAATTGTTTCCTCTACAAACTATGAAAATCTTTCAAAAATTCCTAAAAATATTAAAGCATGAAAATAACCAATTATTTGGAAGAAACAGATGTAAAGATTTATAAGAGGTTGCCACAGTATCATAAAACTATGATTTTTAAAACTAGATGAGACGAAAAATACGTGTTTTGTGATTAGAAAGGTGTTTATTGTGCTCTACATTTCATTTGTATAATTAATTCATACTAATATCCAATATTTATAAATATATTGTTAAAAGAGATTATTCCATTACCGTGGATTTTGTTACAACTGGCCGATCCAAACAGGGATCCGAATTAACAGTCCTTGGCCGGATAAAATCCGAGTCAATTTTGATAACTCGCGAATCTAGAATAAGCCTTCCGTAACTTCGTTCTGAATACTGTAGCTTAACTCCTACTTATCCAGAATCCACGCCGACATACCAAACACATGTTCTGCGAGCAATGAGCCCCGCATAACTCTAACCACCTCTTTGCATTGCCCTATGAAACAATCCAAACAGACATCAAAAACCGGAATTTGTTTAAAATTTAAAAAACATTTTTTTCGATTTCTCCGAGCGTGACGCAATTCCTTCAAGCTTTGCTGGATATAGGGGCATACGGTTTCTGATTTAATATTAAAAACACATAAAAAAGTGCAAGAAACAATAGTTTTTAAATGAATATGGTATTATAGAATGATTATCAACATACTACGCAATGAAATGGATTATTTTCACTCTTGTGTTAAAATATTTGTACAAATATTTTCTTTTCTTTATTTATAGTGCTTGTTTTAGTTTTTACAAGATATGTGGATATCACTTTCTTAAATTCTAATATCAAATATATCAGCACAACACGGCTTTTATAAAATAAAGTGACACTCCTTTTGATAATATTATATTTTGAAATAAGATTTTGAATAGTACGCGAAAACTGAAGATTCTGCTTGAGATCGTGTAAGAGATTGACCTACAAAACTTAAAATTTTGAATTCTTCAATTTATAGATATTTGAATCCTTAATGTACTATGTTTTTTTATGCTTTCCAGTCCAATCGATATTCGTCCACCATTAGTAAATGTTGAGTAGTAATCCAGCCTGAACAAGAATTTAATCATATTTAATATACTGTGTATATGTGTATGTACGTATTATTGCTTACCCTCTTTTTGTGCCAACGCTACAAACTCTTGCCATTTGGACTGAATCTCCCAATATTTGTCTTTGGTTTGATTACGATCTTGCAAATAGGATACGGCGAAGAAATATGCTTTTAGGACATCTTGGGGCCGTGCATCAAAATGCAAATACACACCTATGTTTTTATTACTTTCAGCAATAATAAAACGTTCGTGTGGATCGAAAGACGAAATTATGTTTTCAACCGCGTGAGTCGTTTTATATTCAACGATGAGAGCTCTGATTGATAAGCCTATATAAATATTTAGAGACACAGAAACTGTTTGTCCTATAGTAACCCGCTCCATTTTATTAACCTAAAAGAAATTTGTTTATATATATATATATATACATATATAGTAACATCATACAACCTGTTGAGGTGTTAACATTCGCCCAGATCGGAAATACTCTTCCAAAGCAATTAAATAACGTGACTCGTTGAATGTACGTAAGCAGACAGCTTTGACTGCTTTTAAGTTTGCGTAAAGATGAGTTATGATAATAAATATAAAAACGGTGTACAATATACTGAAATATTAAGTATTAGTCAATACTAAAGACCGTAATATATAGCAGTTTACCTTTGACTTTTAATAAGCGTTAACAAATAAAGACCTATGAATGAAGCTATCAAGTTTACGAACGTCTCTTGCGAACTGTCTTTCGAAGCTACATCAGCTAAGTTACCCCGAATCGCATGATGTTGCGTAAGTGCCGCTCGAGTTGCACCGCCTAAAATTAAGTGGAACATATTTTTATTAATCATATAAATATTTATTTTCTGAATACAATGATAGATAACATTTGGAACAAGATGCAAATACCAACCTGCAACACCCACAATAGCTTTTAGTACAGTTGTGACACACAATAAATGCGTACTGAAAAATTGGTACTTTGGAAGCACATATATCTCAATACCCATTGCTAAATCGTTCAGAAAATCTGCTCTTAGGCGCCATTTTTTTGAATCGATATCTAGCTGCGAGCCCTTCCACCATGAGAATAAGATACGACCCAAGTGTCCACTACCGTCCTTAAGAATCCAAGTGACTGTAGCTGAATAAGCTGTTATATTATCATTCCCCACACCTATTCCTTTGAGAATGGCGTGTGTGCAAAGTGTACCTGTAAATAAATAACAATAAAAATGGTAGTTTTTAGCTGGATTAAAATACAAATCCCTTAGAATTAACTAGGCAAGAGAATTGTGATAATCGAGTAAAATTACTAACCACATATGGTGCTGCAAAATGCCTGTATAGTATCCCATACTTGATATGATGCGTAATCTTCGCTGACGCTATCAGGATAGCCTTTTGGTAAGAAAATTTTTTGGAGTATCCGGAAAAGAAAAAATTTCTCCTGTATTCCCAATTTATCGCTGCGCAAAGGTACGCGAACAATGTTATTTTGATCTATAAAAGTATAAATAAGAAAAGTAAAAATCTCAGTGAATACGTATAAAGCTACCTGCTGGTGTTATATAGAGAACCTCCTCTCCTTTAGTACCATATTGTTCACGAAAGTGCACCTTCATTTTCTTTAATTTGAAGAGTCTTAAGTTTTCAATACAATGTAAGAGTATTTCACTTGTTTAAAAAATTCAATTCTCAACTCAAATGATTTTAGTCCTTTGTCTTTTAATAAAAATTGTTTTTTGCTTACGGTATTTTCTAGGAATGTTGCAAATTACATGAATTTTATCATTTTAAAACAAACGATAAAAATATTTATCTAGTTATGCCTGCGTCCATTATTTTGACGTCGTTTGTTATTGATGTACAAATATATACTTAGGTACACATTTTTAAACAAAATTTCATTCAATAAACTTAGCATGAAATATTATGTTTCTCTTAATGGTTTTACTGTTTGTAAATCACTTAATTGACTAGTTACTAGTTGCTATAAAAAAGTTTAAAAAGAATAAAATGCCGACTTATTACGAAGGAAACCACAAAAATAATCAATTTAGCAGTAAAGCCAGAGAACGTATGAAATAGGAAGGTTCAGAGAACGTAGATTTTTTATTTCTACGTTCTCTGCAATTGACAACAGAGAATGTCAATGAACAAAGAAGGCGCAAATGTTAGCTGCTCAAAAATGTTCGTTCATATAAGGGAACATCGAAAAATGGCAACTTCGAAAATGAAATAATACCAGAGAACATGTTCTCTTATAATACCACGTCATAAAGGAGCTGGGAACGTTTTCCCTGCATTATGACACAACAAACTAGATCACTCTGAAAGGGAACTCTTCCATCATCCCCATCTAACTCTAACCTCTATATTTGAACAACTCAGCAATTATTGGATCGTAGAACAGTGTTTCTCGAATTCTATCATTTTAAAATAATATCTATGCCACAATACAATTCGAGGAAATGTTATTTATACGCATATGATATGAACATTCCCCATGCGGTAGAAAATTTCCGCATTACCAATAGAGGCGCCAAATTTTACCTACATATATATGTACGTGTGACTACGTGCACTAGTTAAATTTTTAAATGTAATTGTTAAACTCAACAACTGCTCCTAAATTAAATTTAACATACTTACATATGTATCTGATTTGGAATTGACACGGACTTTTCCTACCCGGCGAGACTTAACTGTTGAATGGTAATTAAGTTGCGAGAAATAACACCGAACAACTATACTGAAAACCAAGAACTTATATGCCCTGGTAACTTGGGAGTAAAGCGCGTTACTAAATTAAACTTATAATTATTTTGACTAAAGGGCGATGTAATAAGCACATGTTCTGCCTCCAACGAGTTCCTGCATGATGCTTACCAACTCCATCGGAACAGCTCGATTTTCCGATCTCTTACTAGTCAAAGCCAAAAAAATCAAAAGCTTTTCAGCTCAAGATATGTACATATGTGAACGTTATATATTATATAATTACATTTGAAAAATGTTGTTTTTAAAAATTAAAAAAGCAAAAAGATTTGGTAATTAATCATTTACGTTAGTTACTATTAATTAAACTTCTAATAACTATTAATGATAAAACTATGTAGAATATAATGAGATCGTAAATGCGAACTCAAAGTTATATGTGTGTTTCCATAACTTCATTTTTTTAAGCTTCATGTATTTTCTAAAATATTTTTCCTGTATTACGACAGAGATTTGTATATTTTTTGTCCTGAACCGAATCCCAAACGTTACATTTCGAAGCTGCTTTTTCTCCCTTATCATATACTTCTACGCCCTCTTTATAATCCATATCATAATAGCAAGATATGAAATAACAATGACTATAATGACACATATATTAATATGAATGACATAATGGGTTGATAAATGTGATGCACTTACTCTTTACCTTCCGGGCAGTCTACACAATAACCTATGGCACACCCTACACGAGACGCCTGATCGTGCGTGAGCACTTTGTAAAAAGTAGAATCATCCTTCCGCCATATTTGGAATGTAGTCGTCATAAGGGTATTTAATGATACCCGATTTAATCCATCTTGCTTTGATGTATTGAGGCCAACTTTTTCAAAACGTGCCGTTTTATGACATACGCTCGGCTTGCTTGGGCATAAACCGGTGTATGTACGAGCCAGGAATGCTAACTCACTGTCCCAAATGAGATTTCGCATACGTGTTGCTTTCTCCAGACCAGCTACTTGATTACGAAGCTGGTTGTGAAGTTCCAAGAACATATATCTAATTTTAAAAGTCGATGGCATATGCCGTTTAAATTTACCTATGCTTTCCTGTATTACAAAAAGAAATTCCCTTATATTGTATGTATGTATGTATGTAAGAATACTTAAACTTACAATTGCCGATGGATCACACATTATATGTTTTCCTTTCTCACACCAATCATCGTTACCGCAGTAATAATTGTAAGCTGCAGTATAGCTATAAGAGTCTAAAACAACTAAGTAAAGAAAAAAAAAGGTCAGTAGGAAACACATGCTAATTATTACAAAACGATTAAAAACTGAAAATGAAAGCTTGCGCCATGAAACAATTTTTTTATGAAGTAACAGTACATTCATCTATTTAAGTTCTTATACTCTCGCAATTTACAAGTATCAAAGTGGAACATCAAATGGATGTCTCCATTTAAAAATACTGTGGAAATTGAATCAAACAGATTTTAAGAAGATTTTTGAAATTATTTATTAAGTATATACAAATAAAACATATGAACTATACATATAAATTAATATTACGGAATAATATGTAACTACAAACAATATATTTATATTCAATATATTAAAATACAACGGAAAAATAGACAGATTTTCACAGAAAATCTAAAAAGATTTGGTTGCGTTATACATTTACTTCAGCTCAAATTTATAAACCGCAAATATATTATATTCATATAAATAAGTACGGCACAGCACTTATCAATTGAGCATTCGAAATGTATATATTTATATAAGGCAGAGCCTTTGTCCATGTTGGAAATCCAAATTGTCGACTTAAATTCGATTTTAGCATAAGTATTTCAATATTTAATTGTATTAAGAATGAAAGTATTATATCAACACAAAATGCAAATGTCTTCAAGATCAAAATTAATATAAATTCAGTAGATTTCATAAATGACTATAAAACTCCGAACACCCTTCCACAAATCTGTAAATACCAATTCTTAATTAACTTTTCCTTATGTATTCTGTGAGCTTTCAGGTTTTTGATTCCGCCAAAAACCCCCATATATACTTTTAAAAATGTAACAACCACTCCGTCGCATTTAGTTATACTCATTTAGGTTAACAAAAACATTATAAATTACGCATTTACTTTCTTTTCTAAATATGTATGTACATATCTGTATGGAAGGAAGATAACTTACAATAACAATATGAGAAATTCTATAAGCTATTATATAAACATAAATTCTGAAATCTGGCATGGAGCAGTTTTTATGAGGCAGGCTTTACGCAAAATTTTATTTATAATTATTATGTTATAGGGAAATAATATTAGTCGAGTTTTATTAAGCAAGTTGAAAACTAAATAACTATCAGGTAGATCAGTAAACAGTTGAGAAATGAAGCATGCGCTGATTGATTAAAGTTTTCTTCAATTCAGATGAAAATGGAATAACAATAAATTGAGGAACTTGTAGGACCTTGCTCGACGTATTATCACGTATGAGCACTTGCTGAAAGCTCTTCCAAACGTAGACACAGCTCCTGGGCCAAACGCATTTGCGTAGCTGCGTTGGCACATGTAGATGGCGCAGCGGAAGATGTGACGATAGCAGCAGATTCGTGGGGATTTAAATGTGCCATGGCCTCCTGATAACTGGGACACACACCATGCCATCGAGCTTTGCTATAGGCATGCGACTGTAAAACAAATAAACAAATTTATATATAGTTAGTTAATGAAATTGAAACAAGCATTTATAACTGCATATTTTCTCTCCACAACTGATGAATTGGCGAATTGTAATGCATATTAGGTTATACATTATGTATGTACATAGGAAATTTAATTCTAGTATGAGAAAACATTTGCAATTTAAGGAAGAAGAGAAATACTTCTCAGTACGCATAAACTCTTATACCTACCATTGTGAAATCACGCTTCCAGAGCACACCACATTGACCATCACATAGTGGGCAGGGACGCTCTAAGCTGTAGCCTCCACATTCACTACAGTCGAGGGAAACATGGTCATCGGTCCAGGATACGCCGCATGTAAAACATGAGCCCATGTGCTGACGCAGTTCTTCAATAGTAAGGACATTATCCACGGAAATTTCCAACGGACTACCGACCAAATCAGACAATGATGAGGACATGCTAATACTGCTGCGTCTTTAAGAAATTTATATAGAAGTATATACATAAGTCCAGGTCTTTTGTGATCTAACGAGATACAATATAACAAATGCAACATCAAACGGGAATCTTTTGATTTTGTGTATAATATATTGATTGTTGCAATCAATTTATTTTGAACTGATAAACCGCTGAGATTTTTTTATTTTCCACATTAAACACCCTTATCTTGAAACCAAAGCTAGGAATTGAAAATCAGACAAGGGTTCTTTGATGGCTGACATTTCGCGAACAAGACGCATTTTTGGCAAGGCCTGGCACATTAGCTTATTGATGTTTTTGTATATGTATAATAAGTAAAGATAGGCTAATTTCGTGTTCCGCCGAACATTTTTAATTCTCGCAATTTGCAGGAATCAAAGGGGAAGGATTTTTAGGCGTTGCCAAACTTTATATAATATCTTACATATTGGCTTTTGTTATAAGTCATGTTCAAGGTCTAGACCGATTTCATTCAAATTCAGCGCTAAATTACATTATGGTTATGAAAATGCTTAATTTCATTGATATATCACACATATTGACCTACATAAATGGATTAAAGCCAGTTGGAAAATCGGAAATAACTATTTTGGGTATATTGTTACTAGGGAAAGGTCTAAATAGATAACACTTACGTTAAGCATTAAACTAAGGTGTGTTCGCGAACATGATTCCACTCAATTTCGTTAAGATAACTCTAGAGTAAATCTATAGTCCATTTTCGGCACCAAATTACAATATACTAAAAATACTGTTGACCGTAAGTCGGAATATTATAATGTATAACTGTAGGTATATGGAAAAGTACTGAACCGATTTTATTATAATGCAGAAGAGATGCCCACTTAAATTCAATATGATATCACACAGATTGACCGATATTTTTGTAATGTACCAGCCATAGACACCGAGGTCCTCATATTCGGTATATTGAGCCTCGCAAAATTATGGCTCAATTGCGACTATTTTTAATCTTACTGTACTATCTTTTAAAATTTATTACCTTTTAAAGTTTTCGCTATATATGTTTGTAGCTTAATTTGTGACTTAGTTTTTCGATTTTGTTGCGTCAGAATGCATTCGATTACGCCCATTTATAATACCAACCTCCTCAGATGGAAAGGAACAAGATTCATCAATATATATATAATTTTTAATCAAGTTATCGCTTGTACGGACAGACAGATCACTGTGATATACGTAATTCTATACCTATTTTGATTTGTTTTAGGCATTATACACTTACCCCAATGGGCTGCAGATATCAGTAAA